CCTGTGATAATTTTGATCCAAACAAACCCTTAAAATATTGGAAAATACGAGATTGCCCTTCAATATTTAATTCATTTTTATTAAAAAATATCAGAAGTCATGAAAAGTCATATTTGCCCTTATATATATATATATATATATATATGGAAGAGCAGAGGGTAGAGCAGCGACATCGCGACCACTACACCCACCATCACCCGCCATTGCCACCACTACCACCCACCATTACCCGCCAGGGGGTTTCACTGTCGATTTACTCCAATACCCGATCATTAAATTCCACTGCCACGAGCCAACACCATTTTACTCTCAGTCGCCCTCATCATCAACCCCATACCCACAACCTCTCAATCCTCACCAAACTGGTCGACCGGTGGCGTAAAGCCTGAGGACACGACCATGGAACCCGATCTTGATCCGACCCATAGCGAACAAGCCCTTAAAATATTGGAACTGGAGGGTTCGTTATGCTTGAGGTCGAACCGAGTTAGGGTTTTGGACACCAACGGAGGGACCGAACCGAAGATGCGACCTGGTACAACGATGAATTCAGCGAGAGCGGAGAGTTTACCGATGGTGGGATCGAGTCGTCCGGTGAGACCGGGCGCACCGGCCCTTGGATCACCGGGATTCAACGCGATCACCTTTGTTGTCGCAATAGACGCCGGCGAAGTGGGGTCTCTGAACACCTTATTTATAATCATTGTCATATAATTAGAAATCCAATTACACTTTCACTCATTTCCTATATATATAACTTATGATCTCGACATGGTTTGTTTTATCTAATTTCACATACAGATTTATTGCTCGATATATCAAGAAAGCTTTGTTTTGGTTATTCTAATCTTTCTGATAACACGATAGATAGGTCCTTGGGTCTACTACAGAACTTGGGTTGACAAGAGATTTTGGTGGTTTTGTCCGATGATGGTGGGTTTTTGTCAACACTATCAAGCTCAAGAGTCGTTGACGGAAACCAACAGTAGCGGCGATGGTAATGGTGGGTTCAATTGGGATTTTTTGTGGGTTTTTCATGGGTTCAATTAATGGGTTTTGGTTGTGGTGGCAGAGGTTGCAGTGGTGGGTGGAGAGAAAGAAAGAAAGTGGTGGGCAGTATTGGTGGTTGCGGTGGTGGTGACTAGAGGGTGGTGGTTGCGGTGGTGGCTATAGTAGGGCTGTGAAATGGTAGCGGTGGGCGTGAATAGGTCATGGTGGGTGTGGTGGCTGTTGGTTTGGGTAGGGTATTTTGGTCCTAGTATGAGTAGGGTATTTTGGTCAATAAAAAAGAATTGAATTGAATAAATTGGTAATTGAATGTGTCAAAGGGGAATATTGTCAATTCACCGTGATTCAGGACCATTGGGGTGTCTTTGTTAACTTTATTAAACTTAAAGAGGTGTCATCATTCAAAAATAGCCCAACTTAGAGCATCTCCAATGGGGCTGCCAATTCAAAATATAGTAGGTGGACTTAAAAATGGGTTCTCCAATGCAATGCTATATGGGCTACTACTTTTTAACTTTGCTATTTCTTAAACCAATTGTAGCAAAAGAAATATCAATTGCTATATGGGCTGGGGCTACAGAAAAGAAGGGACCGGCTCCTATTTCATCCGATCTGAACCAGAGGAAGAAAATCGATGACGAAAAGAGGGTTACTGATGGACCTCGATCTTGATCTTGACGGTTCCTGGCCGTTATATTAGATCTTCGTCTCCTCCAATCCTACGTCGCCGTTCCTTCTCACGTCCTCAGTAACCCTCTCTTGCGAAGCTGGCCTGACTTTGGTTTTTCTTGGTTGGGAACAGATTCTTCTCTCTCTCTCTCTTTCTCCTTGTCAGTCGCAATATGGGTTTTGAACTTCTGATTCTTGTTGATTTTGTAGTTTGCAGTTGCACAGAGAGAGAGAGAGGAGGGGGGCAATTTCAAAGTTGAGAACGAGAATAGAGATGGAGGCGATTAGGGAGGCTGAAATGAATTACCTTAAAAATATATATATTTTTAATAATAATATAATCAAATATATATAAATTTTCGAAAAAAAAAAAAATTAATTCACAAATAGTGGTAAAAAAATTATAAAAAATTTGTTTTGTTTTGTTTTGTTTTTTTTTTTTTTGGGTCCTTTTTTGACCATATATTTTAGATTTTTGGTTCTTTTTAATTAGGTTTAATTTTAGTTTCCTTCTAATGTCTACAACTTGACTTGGAATGTGCCTAATATTAATATTACTGATGCAAATATGAATGGTGGGAATGGTAGTTGAAAAAAAAAGGTGGTTGTGTTAAAAAATAGCATTTTGCATGAAATGTACCATTTGAACAGAATTGGTAAAATGTAGCATTTTGACACTGTAATACTTGTCAAAATATATATTTGGCATGCATAAATGGCTTTTAGTATTGGAGATGGTCTTATATGTAGCTGTCATCAGGAGCACCACTACGACTATATTTATGCGGATTTGAGAGATCTTTCTTTTTTGAAATAATTTTTTTCGTGACCGGTAGAACTCAAATTTACAACCATCATGCCCTTGAACAATGGATCCAGTTTGTAATGAAACATAATTTTGATGCATTACATATCCTTGTAATTGTTAACCTCGCCAGATATTTTGGAATCTTGGATAAGATCACACCAAAAAAACTAAACCAAAAACATCGAAGTTCATTACAAATGGTCTGGCAGCCTAAGAATTTACATCTTAATATACTACCCATATGAAACTTTTAGCAATTCGACAACCAAGTGATTTGACTACAAAAAATAAATAAAATTAGAAGAAATAAAAGATGGTAGTTACATGATGGTTATGATTTGAGGACAGCCCCTTCTGTAATTCTCCAGAGTTGGCACAAGACATCTCATACCTCGTTATATAGGTTGTACTGTACGAGTCATTGTGGTCTGGATGGACCACATCAGTTAGGCTTGCTGACTCTTCAAGAGTTGCTTCCACAATGGCACGCCGTCCATCAAGTCTCTGTTTCTGCTTGTTTAACATCTTGGAACATATAGCAAATGGCCAGCAAGTCTACTTACAAATAGTAATGGGTTATGAGTATGCTGCATTACCACTCTAAGTTTATTTATTTTAATTTATTTTTACATTGGGAAGAAACACACACCCTCACTCACACACACTTTTTGTCCCCACCCGAGCTCAAATCCCTCTCCTTCTCTTTGAGGATAGGAGATAGGTAGGTTATACCATTAGGCTACATACCACTCTAAAATAGAAGCATATAAATGAGGAATTTTCTTACATACATATCTTTGTATTTAAAATTAGTTGATTGCAATTAATCCGTAACGGATGAAAATGATAACTAACGAAAATTCAAGTTTTGTATCTAAATCATAGAATATTAAGAACCAAAAGTTGATTGCAATTAATCCGTAACTGATGGAATGTTAACTAACGAACATATAATTTTCATATTTAAATCATAGACTACTAAAAATAAAAAATTGATTGCCATTAATATGATACATTTAATAATAATTGTATTAAAAAAATTTAGTGCCAAAAATACAAATAAACAAAGTTGGAAAGAATGCTTTAATTGAAGTAATACAATAAGAACATTTAATGTAAATTATTTAATAGAAATGATTGTGTAATTTTACAAATATAAAAATGTTAATAAATAGAGACTTTTACCATAATTCATATATTGAAAGAATGGTTTAATTGAAGTAATACAAATATTGTACCAAAAATAAGAATAGACAAAGTTGGGCCTTTTGCCACAATTCTTTGAAAGACAATGTCTATCAAATTGTGGAGAGAATGCCCCTTCAATCTTGGACAAAATCGCCAAAAAGTTTACAAACACAAATATTTTTTTATTAATTTTTTTTTTTTTTTTAAAATATTTACAAACTTTACTTATAAATAAAGAGTTTCATTAAACACCAACTCATCAATTTTTAATTTTTCGTTAATGTATTATCTATTTTTTTAAAAATTACAAACTTTACTTATAAATAAAGAGTTTCATTAATGTATTTTCTATTTTATAGTCATTATTTTGGACCTAATTTTTATAATAATTGTGTTTATTTATGTTTTAATTATTTTTATTTTAATTACTTAATATTTATTTTTATGATTTTGTATTACATACACGAACATTATTATTATTAATATTATTAGATTATATATAATAGTTTTTATATATGGTTGTATTATTTTTTACATTCGTTAATGATAAATTGACCAATTTTGTTAGTTAGTAATAAATAGAGATAGAGCTTCTCTCTTTTAGAGTGTTTAAATTGTTTTCTCTTTTAAAGTGTTTAAATCAATGAGACACGCAAACAGTGTAAAGAGAAAAGAAAATCAACATATACCTTGCCTCAATTAGTATAAAGTCAAAGGAAAATTCGAATAAACTTTAGGAAAAAGAAAATGAACATCTACCTTAGTGTAAAGTAAAAGGAAAATGAGGATATACCTTGCCCAACTCAAAATAAAGCAAATCATTAGGGACCATTCATTTGAATTTACAGAAAATTTTCATTTGAATTGAAAATATGGATTCTTGGTCAGAGATAAAATTAAAAAGTACACTTCATTTTATACATCAAACAGGTTGAAGAGTCAATGTTACCGGTTTGAACTATCATTTAAACCAATTGCCATATTGATTTTTATACGTGATGGACCATTCATTTCACATTTCTATACGTTTTGCACTTTTGGATTGCCGTGACAATGGAGTTGCTAATGATAGCATGAGAAGGGTCCGTTTGTTAACCATTTTGCTTTCCTGTTTATGATTAAAGCTTAAACATAACTAGTGTTTCTGTGATGTTGTTATTTATCAATAAATAGAAACATTGTTTGATAACACGTAATGACAAAAATGCCGAGCTTGTTTTGAAAACAAAGAACAAAAAACATTGTCAATCTTTTAAAGAAAAGTATAATACAATAGTGTTGCGGTCGATTTTATAACTTAAAATAGTGTTGCTGAGATTAGAAGTCATACGAGCAAAAAGACTTCATTTTAAAAAAATATAAAAATGATCAAACATGTTATCAATGATTTACTTATTTTGAATAAAATGTCCATTTTCAAAATTTTCATGAATAAACAAAGTTAAATAAAAGTCAAAGAAATTGAAAAATTACAATTATGCTCATTTTGTTTCTTCCTCGATGAAATTGGAATATATATTTCAGCAAAGAATTAAGGCCTTCATCAGTCCTCCATGGTCCATAATCAACATCATCATAAAGCATGCTGCGGTTGAAGGCCTCACACTTCTCTATCGCTAAAGACATGTTTCTTTCACTCTGTACCTGCATTTCATTAAATGGAAAATATTTGTTAATCAAATAAAAGAAAATATCAATAGAAGACATACAGAAACTAATCGTGTGGACCTCGATAGAACAAACAATTTGGTCGTTTAATCAATCACAAAGCTTGATTCAAATCCTAGATGGTCTCCAGTGAGCAAGAGAGCAGATGAGATTTTTGGGTCTGTTCTCGATTGAGAGTCTGCAGTATAAAAGCAAGCGAGAAGCATATACAAACCTTAGAAGGTTTGATCATGATTGTCAGCAAGCAGGAGAGGAGCCGAGAAATGGATTTAAACCATGCGCTACATGTAGAGCTACAATATTCCCTAAAACAAAACATGCAAACATGCAAACAATGTTTCAAAATCATAGTGTAATGCCACCAATTTGGAGGGGGTGTGCCAAGCTCACGCAAGCGCTGGGAGGATTTTGCACAGTGTCTATAAAACAAAAGCAAAACAAGTGCAAAAGATGTTTAAAAATTGTAGTGTCACCCCCACCAATTTGGAGGGGAGTGCCGCGCTCATGCAAGCGTTGGGGAGGAATTTGCAGTGTCTGCAAGTCTTCCACATTTCTCCAGAAGATTGTGGAGTGTATGGTAGGGAGGGATGGGTGATTCTAGAACATTACAGAGTTCGCCGAAATTGATAAACGAAATTGATAAATTGGAGAGAACTGTAAAAAAGTATAGAGTTTTGTAAGTAAGTATTTAGGTGGAGAGTTCTAGATCCTCGATCTTTCTCATTAATTGTAATGTATCCTAACCATCTATTAGTAAGGAGGAAGAAATGGAGTTCTGATTTATGGTCAATAAATCTTGAAAGTGAGTATAAGATTAAGGTTGAGGTGTGAGTGCTATCCTTCTACAAAATTGCAGGACGATAAAGTTTTAAAAAGAAAATAAACATTATCCTACCATCTTCCCTATAACCAGATTTATTAACTAGTTTTGTGCAATTACTACAAACTGTTTCATGCTATTTTACCTATATTTGTACATGCTATTTTACCTATATTTGTACGGAGTCTTGAGCAGGAGAATGGTAGTTTAAAGCGGTACGGAGTAGGCTGGGTTTGAGGTTGTAATTTGTTGTAACATACCTAAAGTAAAATGTCTTTTTTTTTTGGCATTTACATGCCACCCAGAATCACTTTGTCCATCAGCACCAGGCATTCCCAAAAATAATATAAAAAAATATTATATTTCATCACTTTGTCCATCAGAAGACGCTAAACTCTATTTATGCGGATTTCAGGGAATTATTATTTTTTTTTAAATCATCTTTCATGACTGGTAGAACTCAAATTTTACAACCATCATACCCCACTTCCAGTTTGTAATGAAACCTAATTTTTATGATCCTTGTAATCCATCCAGATATTTTGGAATCTTGGACAAAATCACACCAAAAAAAACTAAACCAAAAACATCAAAGTTCAATACAAATGGTCTGGCAGCCTAAGAATTTACAATCTTAATATACTACCATAGGAAACTTTTAGTAATTCGACAACCAAGTGACTAGCCTACAAAAAAATAAATAAAATTAGAAGAAATAAAAGATGGTAGTTACATGATGGTTATGATTTGAGGACAGCCCCTTCTGTAATTCTCCATCCTGAGTTGGCACAATACATCTCATACCTCGTTGTATAGGTTGTACTGTACGAGTCATTGTGCTCTGGATGGGCCACATCAGTTAAGCTTGCTGACTCTTCAAGAGTTGCTTCCACAATGGCCCGCTGTCCATCAAGCGAGATAGTCACACTATCAATGGTGAGGTTTAATAGAGTGTAGTCCCAGAACCAGCCGTGCTGTGCAATTTCCGAAGCACGGTCTGTCCAAATCTTTAGCATATGACCATCCAATACCTGATATTTTAACCATTTCCGGCGTCAGGACAAAATTTTAGATGCATTTCTCTCATCATGAAGTGGTGAATAAATTGTTTACTCGGTCAACAATGAATATGATCGTAATCACCAGCAGTATTATATAAAATAAATAAGGGTTCATAATAGCAACTTATGAATAGATCTGAGTCCATTCGAGATGCAGGTATTCTCCTTATGGCCAGAAAGATGACAATCTTCAAATTATAAATAAGATGTGCTAAACAAAGATGGCTTTCCAACAAGCAAAAGATCTTAAACATAGTAGGGATCAACGTTATAGAAGTGAAGCACCTGTTTGAAAGCAGCTAAATGTTGGACTAAATGGATAAATTGGTTCTAATCAGAAAAACAACATATTACCAAGACAACATGTCTAGAATTAGTCCTTTTCCCCTGTTATTTGAATTAAATATTTGCATTTGCTAGAAGTCTCTGTTTCTGTTTGTTTAACATCTTGGAAGATAGAGCAAATATGGCCAGCAAGTCTACTTACAATCAGTAATGGGTATGCTGCATCACCACTCTAAAGTTTATTTATTTTATTTTTACATTGGCAAGAAACACACACCCCCACTCACACACACTTTTTGTCCACACCTGAGCTCAAATCCCTCCCCTCCTCTTCGAGGATGGGGAGGTTATACCATTGGGCTACATACCACTCTAAAATAGAAGCATATAGATGAGGAATTTTCTTACCTCGGACAAATTTTCAAGGCAATGATCAGGTCCAAGAGCCTGGGATTTAATGTTCTGCCACCTGCGAACAAGAGCTTCAGCAAACCTTGCATCCATTCTAGGCATTTTCTCAGTATTTTCAATTACTGGGGGCCCTGCATGTTGCATACACATTTCAAATGCAAAGAAAAATAATTAAACAGAAAATGTTATCCTGCAGTAAAACACAATGATAAGAAAAGAAAGTTTATGCAGAATTAAATCATGTCCTGTAATCTAGACAAGGCAGAGTATTCATATTTTTTACAAGGGATGTATATTTGCACTCCCCTTGGTTTTTCAATTTATAAAGAAATCACATGGTTACACCTCAAAAGTGGGGTGTAACAGAAGTTTTAGGTATAGCAGTGGACTGTCCGAATGTTTTTGGTGGAACATTTGTCTTTTTTAAAAAAAAATAGCAAGAAGCGTGCAAGAATATAAAAGTGGATTCTGAATATCATCACCCTCCTATAAAACCTTTTCATATCTTAATGATCACTGAAACAGTACGTAGGAATTAGTAATGCTTTAAGCTAACAATTTTCACTAAATGTGGGATGTAAGATTAAGGAAAAAGATCACACAAGGATTGCAGAAAAGGTCAGACATAGATTGATTGATGCAATTAAAAAAAAAGAAGACATCAGAAACAATTTCAGTTTGGAGGCATGCAGCACAAACTTCTTTTGTATATTATTCGATGGTGCACTTCTTTCCAAAAGGAGAGAAGAATGCATAAGCTGTCACATCATTTAAGAATGTTTACAGAAGGCTAAATGCAAGGTGATGAAAATTTTCTTGAGTCCCTCCAGTGGTAGCAATGCAACTATGTTGCACCCATTGAATATTTTATAAGATGGAAATGGAATGAACTTACGAAGTAAGAGCTAGTCTGAGTAATTAGTTTAATGACTATGCAAAAAGAGAAGTGCAAAAGAAAAAAAAGAAAAAGAAATGGAGCGTAGTTATACTGCATTAGTAGGAAAAAAATTGCACACTCAAAATTTATCACAATAGTTTGATTGTTTATTCTAACAGTTGACTGTTTGACGCCCCCCAAAAAATAAAAAAAATACAAAAATAAATAACTTATAAAGATTTGGAGTTCACATCCAGAAAGAAAATAAATAGAATACATGAAGATGTTGATCATATATCACTAGATGATGTAGCACTGGTCAAGAAACAGGTTTACAAGGAAAAAGATGACATTTTAGAGACAGGCAGAGAAGCTTGTGGGAATCCCAATGATGTGAAGTCAAAAATTTTAGAATAGAATGCCTGTCTATTATTTTAGTTTTTTTTATTTTTTTTTGGTTGATAAGTTAATATTTTAGCTCCTTTAAAAAGGAAGAGGCAAATATACACAAAATAATAAATGGGAACCAAAACACAAAACAGTAGGGACCAATAGACCAGAGAGAATACTGGAGACTTGTAACATTACAGAAATATGAGGATTGAGACCACCAAACAGTAAGAATCATCTTGCACTTGCCATTATTAATCACTGGACTTGCATTTTATACAAGAGCAACAATTTCTTAAACATGTGTAACCGATAAAAAGAACATGAGTACTCTGTCAATAAGCTAAAAGCAGCATAGATAGAAAGGCCATTAACATATATTAATCCCGCTAATGTGCAATGCTGGGAGGGTGAAAGCAGCATAGGCATTAAACTAATTATTAATTTGCTTCTTAGGAGCACAATAATTTATGATACTTGGATAATTTACTTTATGAATGAAGAACTGCAACATTTGATCATACCTACTTCAATGATATCAGAAGCCATTGCTGAACCAACATCTTTACGTGGAACTGAAAAGCCACTCCTAGATGGCAAATACTTCAAGCCAACCAAAGTCATCAGTCCAATTACCACACCAGCACACATAATCTTCACACTTCTATCTTTTATTTTGTCAGTAATCAATTCTTGCACGGTTATTTCATCAGAACTATTTTTCTCAGGGATATCAAGCATGTTGGTGGAATCATCTTGATCATGTTTCTCCCCCGTCTCCTCACTTTCTAATGAAATAACCGAATCAGTTATCTCACCATCTCCTTGACGTCTTACACTCCCACCCCCATGACCAAGTGGAAATACCTTTCGTAATGTCTGAATTGCACTATCCTTCACACTACCAAGCACTGCAGTAGCTTCAGCCCCAATTTTCGCAATGGCTGCTGCTGCAGCTAATGGTGAACCACCTAATCCCTCCAGCCTTTCTAAGTATCTCAGGACTGTGGGATCATCATAATAATCTCCAAGCTTGAACGTTATATCTTCCATATCTCTAAATCTGAGAAAAACCACCTCTATCAACCATGTCTCCAGCAACTTGCAAAGTCCAGGAAGAAGATCATTGTCCTCGTCATCCTTGGAATTTTCCATGACAAAGCTGACAATAGAGGGATCTCTGTAAGGTGAGTTGTCGCTGTCCAAACCCAACCATGAGCGACAATCATCAAGCTCCCCTACAAGAAGCGAACAAAGACCCCTCTCCAATGCAAAGTCTATCTCACGGTTTCCCATAGCAGGATAGGGAGAAAGAGAATCCCCTAGAGCTGTGACTTTGGTCTGCTGAAGTTGTTGAAACAGATTATCAGCATCTTGGATGAGATTAGGTTTCTTACCCACAAAGGCCTGAGCAACAAGTGCAAGTGCCACTCCATAAACTTCAAAACTTTCTGCCGGAATATTACTGGGTGTAGCAGCAAAGAGATTGACCTTTTGTATAGAGAAAAAATAATATTCAAAACAAAGAAAAGTAGATAAAAATATTCAAAACGAGAAATTAATACGGAGACGAAGATTGGTTTGACGATATAATCCAATAGATCACCTGCTCTGCTGCTGTCATACGTAAGAAGGCCTCGTTCATAAAATCTTCACGGGTAAATCCTCCAGCAATGGCAGCTGCACCCCCTCCTCCAACGGCCCACAAGATGTTGCGTACACCTTGAAGACCCTCTTCCCTTTTCATGCTATACTCATCACCAAGAGGTAAAGCAAGAAGCTCCAAAACACAACGCGGGGTAATCTCTTCCAGAGTCTCATCAATCTGTGCTTGTAAATCTGGTGCAAGGCTACTTGCACCTTCCTCCTGTGGAAAAACAAATTCAGAATGTCATGATAAATTATCATCAAAAATCAATAAATGGACAAACTACAATAGTTGAAATCAAGTAACATACATTAGCTCCTACATTTTCTATTGCGTCTCTCTAGTTGAACAAAATGTTACATTTTTTATCCAATTGTGAACAAAGGTGAATCATGGGATCTGGCAGAAGTGCATGACCATTTGTCATCCCTAATGTCTATTGACTTTTTCCAGTACTATCAACTAATATAGGAAGTAGGATCAGATGGTTCGGACAGCTAAGAGTGTAGCAACACTCTGTTTAAGGAAAGTGCATCTTTGTGCATTCAATCTGTCCCCTAAAATCTCATTGCTTCATTTCAGTTTCAGCCAGCACAAGTCATCTGATAAAAAATTGGGTGCTATAAATGAGTAGTACCCAATATTCAAGTCAGAAATAATATTCATGATATAGCCAATAAAACACGCCTTTAGGCCTCAAGATATACGTAATTAAAAAATGGAAGACTTTACAAAAATATAATAGGTTCCTCATCAAATGTATTGAACAAATTTGTCTTCACATAGCTAAAGTAAGGCAGACATATTTTTAGAGGTTCAAACAAATTTTAGACATCTTCATCATGGCTACAAGTATTAAGACGTTCTAATCATTGATAAGCTGAATGTCTCACCAAATTGATCAGATTGCAAATTAGCAATTGACCATTAAGAGTGAGTGCAATGGCCAAAGTTCCACATCAAAACGGGAAAACCTAGATGGATGCCAAGAAGACATAAAAGGGAAATACTCACCAACCTAAGGAAGTTTAGGGAACTATGTGAATGGTCAGAGAAGAACTGAATCTACCATCTTTGATGGTGAAAAGGAAAGTAGAAGTGTCAAACTGGGGTCACTTGAAAAAGAGCAAGGTAGGCGTCTAGATAATAAAGATTCAATTATTCAGTCAGCTTTTGACAAAACTATGCAGAATGATTCTTGTACTTGCCATTCCATGAGGCAAAATTGATCACCACAATCCTTTAGATGCTAAAATGGCTTCCCATATTAGTCTATAGCTAATTAAATCCATTCACTCCCAAAACCCTTTATTTTCTAAAAATATTAGAAATTGAAATAACATGAACAGTAAAAATAATATAAAACAGCTGCAAAATTAAATAATTTAATTGTATTTTTCATTTTCATATACCCGATGTTAGAGCAAAAGCATAAAAACAATCTAATTAATCCGTAGAATTTAGAATGTGAATGTTAAACCTACCTTGTTGGATACTATAATTACAAGAATAAACACTAATGATTCTATAAGTTGATAAACCCAATACAGGATAAAGATTTAAAACATATCAATTTAAAAATATTAAGACAAAATCAAGCACATTGTCAAGTCTCACCTGCAACAGCTTCAGAGCCCTTTCTAGCACTTCACAACCTTTAATGAAATCCGGCGGAGACAATGACATGGCGTCCCTCGACATATCGACATAGGCAAGCGCCATTGCCAAGACAATGTCTTGCTTAAATGACTTGGGAAGTCTCTCTCTCAGCAAACCCTCTCCAATTTGAAGAACGGCCACAGTCTCTCCCGCTTCTTGCAACACACACATCGATCCAGGAACCTACAAAAACCAATCGAATTTCACAAAAAATAACTACATTGTGAAACAATGCCCAAACCCCTGTTTGTTTCTCAGGAAAAAAATTGAAAATTAGGGGAAAGAAAACAACAGAAATTACCTTGTCCCAGGGGACTTGAGTGAGGATGGTATCGAATTCGTCTTCGGCAAGGCCTTCGTTGTACTCCCTCCTTGACAAAGGATTAGCTAGGGTTTCGCAGGCGGCTTGAAGAATCTGTCTTCGACTAATTAAGGCTTCGTGACTGTAACTATATTGAGGCGGTTTTGAAACCCTAGCTTCGTATGCTCTTCTGATACCGTCACCGAGAAAGTGTGTTTCGGCGCCGAGCACTCGATAGAAGTCGATGGGCATTGACACGTGGCGCTCCGGAGGGGCGGGCGGGGGAGGAGTGAGAGTGGTGGTTGTGGATGGAGGAGAACGGTGGTGGTCTGGAGAATCGATGATGGTGTTGGGGAGGAATTGGAAGTCGGCGAGGAGGCGGTTGGCCCATTTGCTGGCGGAGTAGTTATTGGGAACACTACTAGCGCCGCCACTGACGGCGTTGAGCTTATGGGTTGTCTTTGGGTTCGGTGGTCGGAGTGGCGGTGACACAAGTCTTGGAGTAGTGATACCAACACCCAAATGTCGAAGGACTTCCATTGCTACTGGCATACTGCTAACACACAATCTCACTCTGTCTTTGTAAACCTCATATTGTCAACGCCTTATTTAAATTTGCATTTACCTAAAATATATGATCATATGAACACTAGAGGTATTTATTTATCTACATTATTACTATTTATTTATTTATTATTTATTATTATAATTATTTTCGATTTTCAGACTAAAAACAACTTCAAATATTTTTTATTTTGAACCTCTTGAAAATTATTCTTGAGGTGTAAAGTGGAGCGGTCCTACAGCCGAAAAGAGCATTCTCACAAGAGTTAGTATTATTCAAATTAAAAATTGATCCAAATAAGTATATGAAGTAAAAAGTCAATAGTAGTAGTAAAAGTGATTATGGAATCTAATAAAATAAAAAAAAATAAAAAAAAGTATTAGAATTGGTTTTTGACAAAATGAAAAATTGGTTTATGGAATAGAACACAATGGATGTATGAATCATAACACTGAAAAGCAAATAAACATACTAAAATTTGGTTGATTTTGTCATAGAAAAAATGATTGGAAAGGACAAGTATTATGGGTTAGTTACCATCATTGCATTGTCTAAAAGAACAAATCACATGTAAGGTTTGGTTGGTTCCTTGCACCGACGTAAAAAAGTGGATCACTCAGTGCATACTCATGTACAAGGGGGATGCTGATGACTCTGGTGATGGTTTGGACCACGCCATATTTGGGCGGAACAATTTTGAGGTTTCATTTTTTTATCCGAATTAGGTGAACCATCAATATATATATTTTGTTTGTTGGTCAAATTTCATTGTTGGGATTCCAAAATTAGGTTTTTCAATCTTACAAAAAGGCTATTGAATATTTCAATATTTTTCGTTAGGCGTCTAATAAACTCTAATTCAAATCGGATTATTTTGACTTTTGGTACTTAATACTCTGGAGCTTTTGATGATTAAGTTTTATATCCTATTTTTTCATAACTTTTAAAGAAAGTTCAATTTTGGACTTGGTTTTAGGTTCCTTTGTGATGTTAATTAAGAATTTTTATTTTTAAATGTCCTGGATTCTAAGTAAATTTATTGTTCATTAATGAACATTCATAACCTTTACTTTGTCACATGCATACTTAATATGGGTTATATTCTAAGTCCCATATTAAGTATGCATCTGTAACATTGAGCTCCAATTCACGTCAAATTATTATATGGTACTGAATTATTTGTTACTTGGCCGTCTACTCCAACCAGAGTTGAACGCAAAGCTCCATTTATAGGTTAAATGGAGGGCCTAATTCGATACAAATAGATACTAAGCACACCAGCACACCGGAACCTGATATTAGAAACAAAATATGTGCCATTTCCCTTCAAATCCTCTCTAATGAGTTTTCGTATTTTTCAAATCAGTTAGTAAAGTTATTATATCACAAAGTTATTTTAACGTGAGTCATCACGTATTATAATATACTTTACTAACTGGATGAAACAGGACGGAAACTATTGGAGCGGATTTCAATCAATATATATATATATATATATATATATATATAATGTATAATGTATATTTCTTGAGTGGCATGGGTTTTATCTTTCATTGTAGGCTTGTAGCAATCACTTGGTCTGTAACACCTGAGGTGCTCCTAGACATTCAATCATCGATTTTCTTGTTTGGAATTATAACAAATTAAACAATATAATAGGGTTTTAAGGATGTGCTTGATTTTTGCCTAGCCATCATCTATATGCTACTCTCTCGTGCTTGTATTTGGGTAAGAATTTTATTAGTAATCTAGTCAGGAGGTAGCATACAGACAAGCCATATTCAGGACAATTCTTTGAGCAAATATGGGCTCCAGGTTTTCATGTGTGCCTTAAATCAATTGGCTTCATATATTCTACAAAATTAACATAAGTCGACCTTTTTATAAGAGAGACATGATAATGACATGGTTAGCATCTCTTCCCCGAAAATTCCAAACATTCCAATAAATAACGGAAATTTTTTTTCTTTTTAGTACTGTACTAAAAAAATTAAAACCATGAAACAACTTTTATTTCAAAGACGCTCCTTTTCTTCCTGTCTTATCTTCAAGAAAATTCAAATTTACGTAAAACGTAATACTAAAAAAGCAAAATAAAAAACCATAAAAAAAGAGAAGAAAGAAATTGAAGGCATGAATTGATATATATAATTTTGCATTGCTAAACACGTAGAGATCAAGATCGACCACACCACAATTTAATCAAATTGACAAATTAAATAAATAGAAACGGTCACTTGGTTATTAGTCCAACTGATATAATTTCTTATTTTTTAATGAAAAAAAGAAAAAGAAAATGAAGAATTCCAATCTTACTATAAAAAAAATTAATAGTAATAAATACTCCTTAATAAATATAGAAATGCAATTGCTCCAAACATACCCCAAGCATGAAGGGCCCAACCGTCAACGTTTCATATCCTTTCCAATTTAATTACAGACATTTCCCACCAATCAGATCATGGGATTGAGCTTTTGAAAAGACCTATCAGGTGCCACTATCACAACTCCAGCGAGTCATATAAAACCACAGAGTTGAGTTAATGATGTTAACTCCGTATGAGTATACAAAAGTTCTCTTTTAAAAGCTCTTTGGGAAGAGGGAAACCATATACTCTGTGAATATATATATACGCACACATATACACACACTGAATATATGTATGTACGTCTATATAGAGAGAGAAACACTGCACAAAACAACACAGCTATTGGCGCAACATATGGAGACTACTCTGTCAATCACTCTTTCCAGGGGAACTCTGCTAGCATACGCTCCCCAACTGCACTTCCAAAGCATCACCAACACCACTCCAAACTCGTAACCCCACCCACTGTCTCGAACCACCACTGCCCATGACAACGGCTATTTTTCTCTACATCGCCGCCGTGGTGCTATGCGCCACCACCTTGTCGCGCGCACAACGAAGTGCCGATACGCTGACGGAGATCGAAGCGTTAAAGTCTTTTAAGTCACATCTACACGATCCAGTTGGTGCATTGGACGGTTGGGATTCGTCCACGCCATTCGCTCCTTGTGACTGGCGTGGCATTAGCTGTTACGATGGCCGAGTTCGAGAGCTCCGCCTGCCTCGCCTCCAACTCGCGGGTCGGCTCACTGACCGGCTGGCTAACCTGCGCGCTTTGCGTAAGTTAAGCCTTCACTCCAACGCCTTCAATGGCTCAATCCCAAGCTCTCTTTCTCAATGCTCTCTCCTACGCGCCGTTTATCTGCAGTACAACTCGTTCTCCGGCGACTTCCCGCCAGCGATCGCGAACCTCACGAACCTACAGGTCCTCAACGTCGCTCATAACTTCCTCTCCGGCGGTGTCCCCGGTGACCTCCCGGTGAGTCTCCGTTACCTCGATGTCTCTTCCAATAACTTCTCCGGCAACATTCCGGCCAACTTCTCTGTCAGTTCCCAGCTCCAGCTCATTAACTTCTCATTCAATCGTTTCACCGGCGAGATTCCGGCGAGCATTGGACACCTTCAAATGCTTGAATATCTATGGCTGGACTCGAACAGATTGTACGGCACTCTGCCTTCGGCGATCGCGAACTGTTCTTCGCTGGTCCACTTGAGCGCCGGAGACAACGCGATCGGCGGCGTGATTCCGGCGACGGTTGGTTCGCTTCCGAAGCTTCAGGTGATTTCGCTTTCGCGCAACGAACTGTCCGGTTCGGTCCCCACATCTCTGTTCTGTAATGTCTCAATCAACCCTCCGTCACTCAAAATCGTTGAACTAGGGTTTAATGCGTTCACGGGCATAGTCAAACCCCCAAATCTGATATTCTCTACTGTTTTGGAGGTTTTAGACCTTCACGAGAATCACATAGACAGTGTGTTTCCATATTGGTTCACGAATTTATCCACACTCACAGTTTTGGATGTCTCCGGAAATTTCTTCTCCGGCGAGTTACCGAGTGGAATCGGTGATCTCTCGGGGTTGGAGGAGCTCAGAGTGGCGAATAATTCATTAACCGGCAAAGTTCCTAATGAGATTCAACAATGTGGGTTGCTAAAGGTGCTTGATCTTGAAGGAAACCGATTTTCGGGTTCAATTCCTTTGTTTCTCGGAGAAATGAAGACCTTGAAGACGTTATCTTTAGGAGGAAATCAGTTCTCTGGTTTGATTCCGTCGAGCCTCGGGAGCCTTTTCGAGCTTGAGTCGTTGAATTTGAGCAACAACAACTTGAGTGGAAGTGTCCCACAAGAGCTCACACAGCTTAGCAACTTAACCACATTGAATTTGAGCCATAACAAATTTTCAGGTGAAGCTTTGAAGAATATCGGAGACTTGAAGGGTTTGGTGGTTCTGAACATGAGTGGCTGTGGATTTTCAGGGGGTTTCCCATTGAGTGTTGGGAATTTGATGAGACTCACAATTCTTGATTTGAGTAAGCAAAGCTTGTCTGGGGAGTTGCCATTTGAGCTCTTTGGGTTGCCAAGTCTACAAGTTATAGCTCTGGAAGAGAACATGTTGTCTGGGGATGTGCCGCAAGGTCTCAGCAGCTTACTGAGTTTACAGTATTTGAATCTGTCGTCGAATGCCTTCTCGGGGGAGATTCCGGCAACATACGGCTTTCTCAAGTCATTAACTGTCCTCTCTCTATCTGGCAATCGTATTAACGGCTCAATTCCGGTGGAGCTCGGCAATTGTTCTGAACTTCAAGTACTAGAGCTTCGAAGGAATCGCTTGACAGGCCGAATTTCGGATGATCTTGGGCATCTCTCTCATTTGAGAAAGCTTGATTTGGGTGAGAATAGATTAACAGGTGAAATCCCAGAGAACATTTCTAGTTGTTCATCTTTAAATTCTCTGTTGTTGGATGCAAATCACATTTCAGGGCATATCCCAGATTCATTGTCGAAGTTGTCAAACCTAACAATGCTGAATGTTTCTTCAAACAATTTGAGTGGAGCCATTCCAGCTAATCTGTCGCGAATTTCCGGCTTGAAATACTTGAATCTGTCTCATAATAACCTCGAGGGGGAGATTCCGGAGGCACTGGGTTCTCGTTTCAATGATTCTTCTGTGTATGCAATGAACACGAAATTATGTGGGAAGCCATTGAATCGAAACTGTAAGAATGTAACAAGTCGAAAGAGGAAGAAGTTGATTTTATTGATTAGTGTGGCTGTAGCAGGAGCTTTGCTTTTGGCATTGTGTTGTTGTGCGTATATTTACAGTCTTCTGCGTTGGCGCAATAAGCTGAAAGCAGGAGAGAAGAAGCCAAGCCCAGCCCGTGGTAGCTCGGGCACAGAAGGGGGTCGTGGCAGCGGAGAAAATGGAGGGCCAAAACTCGTTATGTTCAACAACAAAATCACATATGCAGAGACGGTAGAAGCAACCAGACAATTCGATGAGGAAAATGTGTTGAGCAGGGGAAAATATGGACTCGTATTCAAAGCCGGTTTCGCAGATGGGATGGTGCTGGCAATCCGTCGCCTCCCGGATACATCCATTGATGAGGGCAGTTTCCGAAAAGAAGCTGAATCCATCGGCAAGGTGAAGCATCGAAATTTGACAGTACTTCGAGGCTACTATGCAGGACCACCCGATATTCGGCTTCTTGTTTATGACTACATGCCTAATGGCAACCTAGCTACATTGCTTCAAGAGGCTTCTCACCAAGATGGGCATGTACTCAATTGGCCAATGCGGCACTTAATTGCGCTTGGCATTGCCCGTGGCTTAGCATTCCTGCACTCAGCGTCAATGGTCCATGGGGATGTCAAGCCACAAAATGTACTATTTGATGCTGATTTCGAAGCTCATCTTTCGGACTTCGGGCTAGACAAATTAACCATAGCAACCCCAGCTGAAGCTTCCTCATCCACCACCCCAATTGGGACTCTAGGCTATGTGTCACCCGAGGCTGCATTAACCGGTCAGACAACGAAAGAAGCAGACGTGTACAGTTTCGGCATCGTTCTATTAGAGATCCTAACTGGGAGGAAACCAGTGATGTTCACTCAAGATGAGGACATTGTCAAGTGGGTGAAGAGACAGCTACAAAGGGCCCAAGTTTCGGAATTGCTGGAACCGGGGTTGCTCGAGCTGGACCCCGAGTCGTCGGAGTGGGAAGAGTTCTTGCTTGGAGTGAAAGTGGGATTGCTTTGCACAATGAATGACCCACTGGAAAGGCCATCCATGACAGACGTTGTGTTCATGCTTGAAGGCTGCCGGGTCGGACCGGACATCCCGTCCTCAGCCGATCCCACATCCCTCCCTTCCCCAATTTGAAGATTAAATTCAACTTTACAAAAGCAGCCACTTCTGAACAGAATTCATTCTGTAATCTACGTAGAATTTTATTTATTTTTGCATGTAATAGTGGTTTCATATTTTTATCTTTATTCCTGATTTTGCTCCGCTGTTGAGGAAATCATGTACCATTATGAGACCCACCCCCACACCCATTGGAGGAGTCAAAAGCATAACATATATTTTTCCCGGGAATGGTGGGCCTCATGATATTTTCCCGCCGGAAAATGATTCTATAATTATCTAATATAATATTCCATGGGGTATGACACGTGCCATGATTGGGAGGGATGAAAAAGTAGCCGTTAGTGTGACATGGAGAATCTGAATTTTATTTATTTTATTTCTGTCTATTGGGAAAAGGATAAAAGTATTAAAAGGGTATACGACGGTCCGTGAATGTGTCGGATTGGGTCTGAAAAGGTTGGGTCTCCCTCTCTCTCTCTCTCTCTCTCTCTACGTCGGGTTTTGGAAGAAAGAATCAGGTGTTGACCAATCACGTGGTCCCCACGTGACTCGCGGCATTCAAATAGTTGCACGAAAGTTGTATGCCTTTACGGGTGAGAGCAGAGAATGAGTGACGGAGTGAGTGAATGAGTTACAGCGACAAGTCTTGTGAGTTGAGTAATGACAACTGAGTAGAGCAGAGCAGTGCTTTACTGTCATTGTCAGTTTATTTAACTGCACTGTAAAAAAACTAATTACCTTTCTTAAAGGTCTCGGGGTAAATAAGTGAAAAAGGCACACAGGTGGTTAATGAATCCATTAGTATTAAAAGCAGCAGCCCACTCAGTCAACACCAAAGGATTACTTGAATGCAGTCTCAACTCATTGACAGCTAAAAGTTTCTTTTTCTCGTGGAAACTAATTTAGCATAAGCTCCAATTGTTTACGTACTAACTTATTAATCAAAACAAAGAATGTAATCCTCCTAAAGTTATCTTTTCAGCTAAATGATGTTTACAGTACATCAAAGGCCTAACACAATAGGACGAACCCTTCTAATCAACATGGTAAAATATCACTTTATGTGCTCCACTCCTGTTAATTCTGCATTCCTCTCAAGATAATGAAGGCATCCATCACTTTCACTTGGTCCACTTAATCTGATATGGAATTAATTTCTCAAACACACATACACTGTTCAAACACCTGCCCTCATGAACAATAATAACAATGGCATCCGAATCCGTTGTATGTCGTTAAAATCATATTTCAACGCATAATGGGGTTGACAATAGATTAAATTGTGTAGAAACTTCTAAATGCCCGGTACAAGATAGAAATTTGACTTTGATTCTTCATAATAGACGAAATGATAGCTCTGATTTATATTGAAAGAATGTTACCGGGTTCTGTACAAAGTGATACAGAACCGTACACTTCTCTAATTTACATGTATACATAAGATAATTACCATGTGGAGATGGATAAATTTGAAAGAATGATTGACCTAAAATTAATGAGTCCTCTACAAGAGAATAATGAGAATTTATTTCTACATGAGAAAACTAAGTTACAAAATGCAACCACTTCTTTAGGCAGATGTCAGGTCATCAGGAAGGGAGGGATTACCCTGTTCAGGTGATAGAAACCTGTGGCAAGCATATAATACAGCTGAATGGAAACCTGCTGGATTGTCTATGAATGCGAAGTGACCAGCCTGCAAGCATATACCGGAAAAGTTCTATTAACCTTATGATTAATAGTTTAGTGTGTGTGTATGTGTGTATATATATTTCACTTGAAGAGAGATCAGAAGAGAGAGAGACCTTAGGAACCCTTATTATTTCACATGGAACTTTCATGTCCTTGCGAGCTTCTTGAGCCCCTTGGTAATTCATCCAATCTTCAAAACCGTATATGAAGGTGGTTGGTACTTTCCAATCCGATGCACTGCACCCAAAAGACGTGAAAAATGTATGTAATGATTTCACTGCCTTCCAAGGTTGAAAATGGAAAAGCAAAATGACACACGCACTTGTTGTCTTCCAAACTAGTTGTTCATTGTTGTCATGGTATTTAAGATTAAATTTATTTTCAGAACTACTCCATGCAGGAAATTTGTCATAATCAGATTCACCAATTCCAATCAGAAAAACAAAAGCCCTCAATTTTTAAAAATATCAGTGTTTTAACTAACTGAAAAGCACCTTCACATGTTCATGCTGGTATTTATGCGAGTCTGTTAGCACGACCCTCTCACAAGGAAAACTCTTAACTAGACAAGAACAAGAACAAAAGGAGAACCTGGTTTTCTAGCATTAGGAGTTTTAACTGAAAATTTGCTACTCATGGAATAAGTCAGGAACATGACTGAGGTGAATAACATGCAACCAGTCAATTTGGACCTCATTGAAAGCACGTGCCAATTTATACAGAAGCATATCACTGATTACATCAACACTTCTCAACAAAAAAATTAGTGTCGCCTGTAGGAAAGAGAAGGGCAGGAGAGATAATTATGTTGATAACCACAGTTCTTGTGTAAAGCACAGACAGCCCGATGATAGTTTTACAAATATAAAGACCTTATAATCTAAAAGCATACTAAACCTACAAAATATGACCTGCCTCAGGACTTCTGACTAATGTTGTCAGTGGTTTTGTTGTAGATGCCTGACGCATCTCAATTTCTCAGTCAGTCTAAATATTCATTTATATTTTAGTTTCAACGTTCGCCTAATTCCACTGTCCATCATAGCATCTTAATTCTAATACTAATCATGTGAGCAACTCTGAAATGCATGGCTGATTTTACTGCTGTCATACAAACTGTACTAACTTTTCTGCAACAAGACTGATCATGAACGGTGAGGGTTAAGATAGAGGCAGCATGGCAAGAAGATTTTGTTTCTCATGCTTCAAAGAAAAGTGGCAGGAAAATTTCTTCCACGCCAGAATAAAGAAATTCTATTAGTCCAGTATATGACTATGAATGACTATTTAGTTTCAAGATCCAAACAATAATGGGAAAATCATAAAAAAAAATGGTAGGCATTTGTGTTCTAGAAGCTGAAATGATTCATCCTTCCATCTTGAAATGCAACTTACATACAGCAGACAAGAAAGGATAGGAATATGCTTGTGACTTTTAAAGTGACATAAAATGCTCAAGTATATTTAATTATTTAATCATTACCATAATTATATAGTAAATCTGAAAAATCTACAAGAAATCCAGGCCGTTTACCAGTAAAGAACAAACCAAAGCAAAATCACTTAAAACAAAAGTAGCATCACACCTGTGTAAAAGAGGCATCCGGGCAATTGCTCCAAAAGCAAATATATGTCTCAAACACAGCTCTCCACTAGATTTGGCAGCAACGGTATGGTACATATAATCTTCCATCAAAACAGTTTTATGAGAAATCTTATATAGTCAGAATGAGCTTTTATACTACAATCATTTTCATTAATTACCTGTCAATAATCTGGACTCATCTTCAGTCAAAATGTCACCAGTTGAGTATGCACCAAATCTAGCACTTGTGTATCTGCGAACCAGATCTGGACCCCAGGGGCCTAAACCTCTGCACAATAAAGTCCCCCAAGGCACAAGAACAAATAAGGCCAACAGGATATTTCAAAATCATGAACATTATTTAAGGTCCTTTTCTAGGAAACTAGAATCATTAAACAAATTCACAATCATATATGTGATCCATATGCCATAAGCAAGCAATTACAGATTACAAGTATAATATACTTCCACACATTAATGAAGATTCATGCCCAAAAAGCATTGTTAATTAACAATCCAAAGGAAAACAATCAGAAGACCGAATTTCAACTACTACTGAGACATTCATTGCTTTTAAAGAATGAATAAAAAAGAAAAAATAAAATAAAATAAAAGAAAGAGGATAATTCTAGTTAAGAATTACCAACTCGTTTAGATTTGAAAAGAATATAATGCAAAAATCGAGGCCAACTGCCACAATGATTAAGATAAAAAGTAGCAATATACCTTATTTTGTTTTCCTCACCATAAAGAGAGGATATGGAAGGATGCACTAAGCAAGTACCTTCAGCAAATTATTTTTCAAAGCAGGTTGTTGGAAAAGAGAGAGAGTTGAAATCGATTAACAATCCACAAGTCAAGAGAGTTTATCACTAGGAGTATTTCTTAAACAGGAAAACTTCTCACTCCTCTCACATGGATAGTACCTATAATCATATTGCCTCTCAATACTTATTCTACTAAATTCTTGATATTAATTGAGGTTCCTATTTTTCCACAAATGCAACATTAAATTTCTTGAAAGTGTAAAAAGAGGCAGAAGATCAAAAAAATCAGTAAGATATCTACATAAATTAATATATCTATATATATATATATATCTCACATTATTGTACAATAAACTCTAATATTTAAGAAAATATTTCACTAATTGTAGTAATTATTTTCTTCCTTCTTATAGTTTTCCCTGTTCTTTAGGAGCTATTGTAAAAATCACATATATAAGATTTAATATAACTAGAAAAAGAGAGCATATGCTGACGGTGCATGTGCCATAAAATCATACCTACCGTGACTTCATCAAAACCCAGAACTATTCTATAACATGTACATATTATAGATCCCTGGGTATTATAAATGAAATGTGATGGAAAATGGTGATGGTGAAGACAAAACCCATAACCAGGAAAAAAAAGATAAAACTTCTGGTACCAAAATAAAGATATAAACTTAGCCTAGTGCATGGACTTACATATGAATAGTTGTATATACATATGCAAATATCTGCATGTCTACATATTTAAGTATGTGTGTGCAGTGCACATGCCACGCTTTGCTGTCGAGGCCCCTGAAACAGGGACCTGTAGGCAAAGTTAGACCACATTATTGGCTGAAAGAAAAAATGTGTAAGTGTGAAGAAACAAAACAATGACCGAAAAGGAAAAGAAAACAAAATGAATAATCACCTGATGATCTTCTGAGGAGTAAAGTCAGACTCCCATAAATGATTCAAGATAGCTCCTCTCCATGATTCCCTGAACTGGGTAATCCGCTCAGAATTGGCATCTGACTCTGGTGAAAACCCAGCAGGTCCTACTAAAATCAACTGTCGTACATGCTCAGGATGCTATAACAAAAACACAGTTGACATCAATGGTGAGCAGAAAATACAACTTCTTCCAAAATTGAAACATCAACATGAGAAAGCAATCACCTTGAGAGCATATTTTGATGCAACATACCCCCCAAAAGAGTGTCCAAGTAAAATGATGTTGCTAAGGTTTTTGGCTTTACGCCATTCCTCAAAAGAATCAATAAACCATGCCTCAGTTTCTGCACATAAAAATAAAAATAAAAAAGCCCAGAGGGTTAATTTATCTTGCCTTGATGGTTTAATATACAATTTAGTTAATCAACTTTTTAAAACATGACTCGCAAATAAAACAATATTCGTAGGTGGATCACACTAGAACCAGAAACATATGACGTAGGTGCACATGCATGATAATGACCGCATAGAATGAGCATCATCAAGCTCTACGAGAAACATAGATTCCAGATTGCAGTAAGCTCGGTCGCTAATTTATTTATATTTCTAACAAAGCATCCTATACCAACAGCAAAGTACACGTATTTTTGAATTTCCAGCTAGCATGGAACAATTTGCTCATACAGTCTACCACTGAAGTTCATTATCTGAAACTTCATATTCTAGAAATATGACGGCTAAAGGTAGAGTATTCTACATCCTTCCTTAAAGTGAAAGCCAATCACACAGAATGATAAATACCATGTAGGGTTAAATATATTGTGTGAAGAGACAAACATTTTTTATGTGCGTGCAAAGAAAACAATTATTAAAGATAAAAGGAGAAACCCATTGCATGAGGCTCCCACCATTGCGGGGTCTGGGGAGCGTCAAATGTACGCAGCCTTACCTTTGCATGCAGAGAGGCTGTTAATGAGGAACAGAAGATAACAACAACGATAGAAGAAACTCTAGAGGTTTTAACAATGTCACTAACATCCCCCAAATTAATAAAATATCAATAACCTCTCTTGTTTGCTTGCATTTAACAAGATGGGAACGGCATCAGTTGCCTCATACATTAACCAGGAGGGTGAGGGTAAGTGATGTTGGCATCACAATCTGAAGGGGGATCAGTAGTATTGCAAAACCATACAAGAGTAACCCACTTATTGGAAACTTTTTTCTTTTCTTTCTTTCTTTCCTTTTTTTTTTTTTTGAAAGATTTGTAATAAATAAAAACCCTTAACTTTTTTTATTCAATAATCAAGATTATGAAATCACTGATGTACGGATGAAATTTTTTGACAGTGGCTCTATAATTTTGTCAAGATTGATATATAAATCAATGTGTGTGTACACAGAATATAAGGGAACTTAAGCAATGTATGTCAATACTGGAGCCACAAATTTCATTTATTTTTCGTTTTGGGCGACATAACATTCCTTAATTGGTCATGGTTTAGAATTTTGGGTTTTTAATAATTTCTAGTGACTTTTTTTCAATGTACAAACATGATTTAATAAGGTTAATGAATCTTACATTGCTTTTTAAGTTGCTGTGAAAAGTAGATACTTGCTAATTTATACCTTTCACTACTTTCATAACCATAATGTACTTAAAGTTGAAAAATTATAGAGTAATTTACAGAGCATGTTCAAAAAACAATATTCTCTCTACATCATATGAGTAGAAAGGGAATCTAACCTAATGGTATAACCTCCCCATCCTCAAAGAGGATCTGAGGTGTTTGACACTGGGTGTGGACAAAAGGGTGTGTGAGTGTGTTTCTTGCCAAGGTAAAATTTTTTTTTAGATTAAAAAAAAAAGGTACAAAGGAAGGCACATCAAGATATCTAGACCAGGAAAACTAGAAATAGATTCAACAACAATTTTCTATAATCCAACTTTAAACAAGATATCATGGTTAGAGCTGAAATCTCCATGTTTGACAAGTTTCTTAGAGACTTAGAGTTGACATCTCCATGTCTAAGGTTAGATTTTGGCGATATGTTGCTTTGGAGGGAAGATTAGTTTACTGTTTTCAAGCTTGAAAGGCTAAAATTGAGCTTTAAAAAAATCATGTCCTAACAGGGCTGCTAAGAACCATAACGGCTGTTACACCATGACAATCCATAGCAGTCGTTACACATGGAAATTCAATAGCAAATGGGTGCGGCATATACCAGTATCGTCACAGACCCTTATAGAACATGACAATTTGACAAAGTACACTCAAAGACAGTTTACCTTCTGTGCTTTTGCATGTGAAGTCAGGCCTGCTTGATCCACCCCATCTGCAACAAGAACAAGTGACAAGCTAAGTATACTGGAAAGTTTCCTACCAGAAAAAATAACCTATAAAAGCAGTTCTATCTAATTTAAAGAAAGCCAATAGGGGTGATCTCAAGGACCAATTGCAACACAAAAAGATTCTCAGGCAGTGTTGAATAAATTTAAAGGGACAGGACTGACATAACAAGTAACCAATTGATCTACCAATTTTTGTTTCTTAAAAAGTTCTAAAATACTATACTTATAAAACAAGCATATCTGTTAAGTATTTTCCTTCTAATGTGTAGCAAGGCTTTCCTTCTAATTGAAGTACAACTATAACATGCAAATCTGGTTTGAGCTAAATAATGCTCCAAGCCTCAGAGAAACAGCTTATTAGCTGTGAAAATCCAATTATAGTAAGTTTATAAAAATGCCTTCCACTTACACCAAGCACTAATTAGAAAAGACAAATTTTTACCATTTATGCTTTAATAACTAATACTCTAGCAAAGTTATTGTTGTCTTCATAAGTTCATCATTTCATAATCTTCTTTCCCTTACTATTTCCTTTCAGTGTCCTATGTCAACCTATATATAGATTTTAAACATTTTAACACTAACTGTGATTAGAAAGCATGTTTTATGATTAATGTTTTCATTAAACGTCTAAAGCATGTTTTATGATTAATGTTTTCATTAAACGTCTAATCTTCTTGTATAAATTATAAAAATCCTGCAAGTTGATGGGAGGCTATAATTGTTTGGAGAGATTAATGGAGATCATAGTGCCAGCATCATAGGAAATGAATGGGCAAGGATTTGTGTCCTTCATCTGTCATTGCTTTAATTAACCACAAATACTAGTGATGTTTAATGGTCAATTTAATCAAATCAGCTTCAAGTCTGTTTCAATAGAAGTGATAATTATAGTTCTCTCTCTCTCTCTCTCTCTATATATATATATATATACACATATATGCAGGCTGAAATTGGAGATTGAATATACAGATTGTAGTCTAGAGAAAAATCATTTCATTAGCATTGAAGCAGAGAAAAACAATGGAAGACTGATTGAATCTGTTACCTATAGTTAAAAACTGTACATTTTAAATAGTTAAAAAAAATACACCAGAGCAGGAGGCTGCTACATGTTCAATACCAGGATATAAAAGAAATGAGGTATCTTCGTAAGGTTATGTTTGGGCATTTGGAGGATTTAAATCTAAATGTTGTCGTTGTTTACTTACCAAAAAAAAAAATCTAAATGTTGTTTATATTTCAAAGTTAATCAGAAGCAGGAAGCAATCGACCAATTCAATAGATATAAATAAATGAAACACAATCATTGAAATGTGATCCAAAATCAAAGAAAGCGAACTCACCCAAGCTGATCGATAGCAATGACCCTGAAATGCTTGGCAAGAGCATCAAAATTTCGGAAGAAGAACCCTTGAGAAGCACCATAACCATGAATCATTACAAGAGTGGGAGAATCTTCTTTGCTTTCAAAAGTAACAGTGTTGATAAACCTCGGCTTGTCACTCACAGAACGAAACCACTTGACTTTTGATCCTGGTGGGCCAGAGCCTATATTAACCTGTTCTTGGGTGTATGGAGTTCTGGAATCCGACCATCCAAGAATAACAACAAACACGACAAAACACAAAATAAGAAAACACAGCTAATGATGATATTCAAACTACATTGCATAGAGATCAATCATTTATGGTTTCTGTGCCTCAACGGGTGAAGTACTTCTAGTCTGAAAGGAGACCTTTAAATTGGAAACCATCCACATTTTACCCACCAAAAAGAAAAAAAGAAAGGAAAATGAAACAAACAAACTAATTAACTGACACAATAGAAAAATTATTTGAACAGTTAAAAATAAAATACATGAATGAAATTTCAAAATTCCGGTAACTATATTTGTGTTTTCACATGTAATTCAATAAATTCAATGACTTTGTGAAATATCCTTCCGCAATGTAATGATTTTGCAGCATTTTAACAGAAGAAACAGAAAGAATACAATAATGCATGTATTGAGTTTGGAAGCATGGAATCCACGGTTTGGATTTAAATTTGAGCTAACAAGATAAACAATTCTAATTCCAAGGCATGAATTCCATGCTCCCAAACATAGTCTTAAAGAATTTAACAACCAATAGCTTGATATAACACAGTCTACATTTCTATAATCAAATTGAAAGTATTAAATCAATATGTATACAAATTTATTCAAATAAACATAGATTTTAGGGATCCGTATGAAGAAAACGAATTCAAAGACATGAACAAAAAGAAAGATAACTTCCAAATTAGCTGAAACCATTGTAATCTCTTCAATGCGAAAATTTTCAAATTCAGAATATATATATATATATATATATATATATATATATATATATGTGTGTGTGTGTGTGTGTGTGTGTGTCATGTTTTCACAATTAAATCTTAAAAAAAAAATTAGAATTCGGAGAGAGAGAGAGGAGGAGAGTACTTGACGAGAGATAGAAGGCGTGTCTCGGCGGCGATGATGTGATAGGTGGAGGTAGGAATCCAACGGAGGAAAGAGGGCCACAGCGATTTCTTCTTTGGCGTTTTCGTGGTCGTCGCCGCCGCAGCAGCAGCTGAAGAACTGATTTGCTCCGCCATTATCGCCACCGAGTTTCTTGTCCACCTAAGGCCAAAATTCATGGGCTTCCTTCACTACAACGGTCTACGCGTATATAGGCTTTGGATGTTTGCAATTATATGTATATGTATATACATACAATCTCGCACACACATATATATACACACACGAAATGTCTCCACAGCTTTAGGCCTCCACATGCCGAATCTAACGGGAAGCTTCCCTCCCTCCCTCCACGTCAATGGTGACGGCAGTAATTTAATTCTGGCGAAATTATCAATGTGTCCCATTTATTTTTTATAATTTACCAATAAAATGTTTAGATTTTTCTTATTAGCTTATCGATTTTTTTTAATGACATATCTTATTGATTTCTTTATAAAATATTTAAAATTTTGTGCATTACAGTCAGAAATGTAAATTCTACACAATTTTTTTTTTAATTGAAATTCATAATATAATATTCATTAATTCGCTAAAACTTAAAACGTCTTAAAAAAGAAGTTACAATTTTGAACAAAATCTATTGATGAACTAAAAGCATAAAAATAAAATGTTATAATAACAAATTATGAAAGATGAAGGTAAATATTTGAGAGAGTTCAGAACTAGAGTGAAAACCTTCAACAAAAGTAAGAGTTATTGGTTTTATCAAAATTTGATAGGCTATTGCTATTTAAAAAGAAAAAATAGGATTTATTTATATTTTTCTCTTTGCTATTTTTTTATCAAAATGAACAAATAAAAATAGAAAAATAATGTTCTCATCACAAAAATTTTCTCACGCAATCAATATTTATAGCAGTACCTCATGCTAGAATTTTTTTAATGCCTTTTAAGTGCAAAGTTAAGGATTTAAATTTATATAATTAGACTCCATACTATTACAAAAAAAAATAACCAACCATATTTTCACTTTATATATATATATATATATATATATATATATATATATATATATAAATTGATTATGAGAGTATTTTGGAAAGAACAATACTGCACTTGTCACTTGTCTAAAAATGACAAGAAGCCATTATTTATCGGGGAAAAGGAAAATAACTTTTCATCTCCAAAGAATGAATTAAACAAACAATTGGAATATCCAATTCGACTAATGGGTATGTGTGTAATTTTACTATTTGGAAAAAATAATGTCTATTGTCTCGCTCTAGTCGCTTACTTGGAGAAGAGGTGATGTGTTAGGAGAGAGCGCTCTTCGCATAGGTAAGCAGTGACGTAGGTTGAAACACAAATAAAGAAAATAAAGAAAAATTACAAAGTGAGCACGTGTTATTCTAAAATTACAATTTAAATGGTTTCATTACTATTCTTATTCGGTTTCATAAAATACTCTTATTTTGTCTTTTTAGTTCTCTATAACTGTATCATCTTCTTTTTTTTCGTTCAAATATAAAAATTTAATTTGTACAAAATTTAGAACACCAATTTTAAATGCTTTGCAATTTTTTCTTTATTTTTATTTTTGGGAGTCACATGGATCATTAGTTTTGATCATTATTATAATGAACAAATACCTATCAAAATAATAGATGGATATCAATAATCAAAAATACAATATTTTATATATAACTAGAGGTACATAATCTTAGAGAGATGCAATCTTAAGCGCGTGTGTGTGTGTAACACATATATAATTTGATACACATGTTGATTGAAACTTTAATCCCAACAAAGATATTATATTAAGATGAAACTTAGAAAATATATTACAACTTTCCAAATGGGTCCAATTATATGTGACACATAGGTAGTGTAACTAGGCCACCTTGCCTACTCGAGGTCAAACCCGGACACTCTCCGGACCGGGTGCTTGGCGTGACACCGAATTAGTTGGATTGTGCTGCATACCCATCCATTTATATACAGTTCAACCCCATCCAAATCTAATATGGGACAAGTCTCACTTGTAATAAGTCGGCACATAAATTTGGTGAAATAGTAAGTTTTTATTTATTAGGTAAATAGTAAGACTATATATATATATATATATTAGAGTAAATGATAAATAACGTGAAAACTTTTTGAATTTGATTTGGCTAGGCTACGTCATTACGTCAAAGTTAAAAAAGAAAGAGTCCTCGTACATGGTATAAAAAAATAAAATAAAATAAAATAAAAAAACAAACAAACATGGTGCTTCTTCTCCTCCCAAACAAACAATAAACTAAAAACTCTCCAAAATTAAAGAGAGGGCAAAAGAAATTAATCATAAATCAAAAATTATATATATCAAATCAATTTAAGAGTCCAAACTTCCTTAACTATTGATTTTAACGAAACAAATACAATATTATATATATTCTATTATGTATTTGCGATTTAGAATTTTGATAAAGGAGAAGAGAGAGAATTTTTAGTTTTCAGTTAATGAAAGAAAGTGAGAGCACCATGTTTTTTTTTTTTTTTTTCCTTTTTCTTTTTTGAGTTTTTGCGCGCGCGCGCACACACACACATATATATATCTATTTACCTTATAAAAGTGTATTCTATTTATATTTTTTATATACACTTGTTTGTAATAATATTATACACTTCTCAAATAATTACTAACACCTCTTCTAAAAGTCACCTTTTATTATTTATATACAATTAAATCATTTAATTTATTTTAATAAATAAATGTGACTTTTCAAATAACTACTGACACCTCTTCTAAAAGTCACCTTTTAATTGCACTAACACATCTTCTAAAAGTCACTTTTTAACTTGAAACACCTATATATAAAAGTGTATTCTATTTGTATTTTTTATATACATTTTTTTGTAATAATATTATATATTTCTCAAATAACTACTAACACCTGTTCTAAAAGTCACCTTTTATTATTTATATACAATTAAATCATTTAATTTATTTTAATAAATAAATGTGACTTTTCAAATAACTACTAACATCTCTTCTAAAAGCTTTTCAAATAACTACTGACATCTCTTCTAAAAGTTACATTTTAACTGCACTAACACCTCTTCTAAAAGTCACATTTTTACTTGAAACACCTATATATAAAAGTGTATTCTATTTATATTTTTTATATACATTTTTTTGTAATAATATTATATACTTCTTAAATAACTACTAACACCTCTTCTAAAAGTCACCTTTTATTATTTATATACAATTAAATCATTTGATTTATTTTAATAAATAAATATGACTTTTTAAATAACTACTAACATCTCTTCTAAAAGCTTTTCAAATAACTACTGACACCTCTTTCAAAAGTCACCTTTTAACTACAAACACCTATATATAAAAGTGTATTTTATTTGTATTTTTTATATACACTTTTTTGTAATAATATTATATACTTTTCAAATAACTACTAACACATCTTCTAAAAGTCATTTTTTTTATTATTTATATGCAATTAAATTATTTAATTTATTTTAATAAATAAATGTGACTTTTCAAATAACTACTAACACCTCTTCTAAAAGTCACATTTTAACTACACTAACACCTCTTCTAAAAGTCACCTTTTAACGGCAAACACCCAAATATATATATATATATATATATATATATATATATATATATATATATATATCACCCTATATCTCACTCCTCTCTATTTTTTTCCATCTCTCTTTGAAAAGAATTTCTTCACAAAAAGTTTGTTAGAGGTTTCTTCTTCCACAAACAATTTCAACGGATTGAGAGGAGATTCGTCTTTTGGTTCATGTACATCAAATTACAACTCAAAACCCTTTTAAATTTTTTTTAAAGGTATGTTTTAATTTGAATTGAAGAACAATTTATATATTTTATCTTTCTATCTAATCATATATATATTTATATTGTTTCATACAAAATTAATACATAGCGAGTTATTATATTTTATATGTTCTCCTAATAGTTCAGTTCTAGAATTTTTTTTTATTACGATGTGAAAGCAATATGCACCAATATTAAATTTGTTCTATTCAGAAAAATTATATGGATAAAATATATGAAATATTGTATTTTAAATGCAATATACATGTGCAAGTATATATAGATAACTGACGTCTATAATCATTGATTGAAATGTCAGTTAGTTATCATAGAATTTTTTCACGAACGAATCATTATATATACAATACATAATTAATTCATGAGGAGTTTTTATATTTTATATGTTTAAGTGTATTCAATTTTTTTTTTTTTTTTTTTTTTTAACCAACGGGTCAATGCCTAGCGGTATCAGCCTCCTACTTCCCAAAGGGAGGTTAGGGGTTCAAGTCTCATAAGTGACAGTTTGTGTGAGTACCAACTAGGAAATTTTTTTTTTTTTGATTTTTTATATACATTTCAAAATAAATTCTTCATTTTACAAAAATAGTATACTGTTTTTTTTTTTTTTTTTTTTTTTTTCTCTCTCTCTCTTTCTCTCTCCAAAGAGTCGACATTTCCTTTTTAATTTTTACACACTGTTTTTATTTTCTTACTTTCTTCTTTTTTCCCAAAGAGTTCTTGTTTTAAACAATTTTTAAATTTTAATTTAAATCAATCTTACATGCACTCTAGATTTTGGATTTCTCTATTGAAAAATCAACTTTAATTATGTGGATTTCTCTACTAAAAAATCAAATTGATATTTTACTGGATTATTATTATTTTATAAAGTTTTATTTGTACTATTTATATTGTGTTATAACAAAGTGTTTTGGCTTCTTTATATCTTATTTGCGTATATACTGTGTTTATTTTTTCATGTTGCTTTTCTGTCTAATTCTGTATTCCTTTCTTGTTTAATTCTCTAGAAAATGTTGTTTTTACATATACATTCTCTACTTTGCCTATTTCTTTCCAAAGTATTTATGATTCTGTTATATAATGTCTTTATATTTGAAAGAGATTTTTGGAAGTATGTTCGGTGAAGATTTACGATAAGATTACTGTGATATGAAGAAACACTTTAAAATTACATTTAAAATAAAATGGTATTTAATTGAATCAGTTTAATATATTTATAACCCTTATAAAAGGGGATTCATTTTGTATTATTTATATGCACTAAATTTTTTTAGTTTAAAAAGGAAACACAACTTTAAATATTTGTTTTCTCAAGAAACTTGATTTTTCAAATAATAATAATAATAAAACTATTTTTCAACTTTATATATATATATATTCAAAGAACACTGCGTTTACCAAAAATCTGGTCAATGTGCACACTTACAGATCGACATACACAGTTATCTACCTAGAATACCTAAAGGCAGCTAATAACATCGGGTCAACTAAAAAAACAATGACCTTAAAATCTTAAATTAGTGGTACTTCTTTAGAATCATAGCATTTGCTTTCCTGCCAAGGAAATAATTTTTTTTCCTTTTTTTTTTTTTTTTTTTTTTTTAACAAACAACGGAAGAACATTTTATAAAAACACTGAATGAAGGTCAACATGTAGACCACATATTCCAAGCACTATCACCCTGCTTACAACTGAGAGCCATCTTTGCTAGATGGTGAGCAATATAGTTACAATCTCGATTAGCCCAAGACAAAAGAAAATCACCATTACCAAAACTGAAGTAAAAGTATAAATATCATCTAAAACTGTAATTGAGAGACTAACCATTGGGGACAAGAGCCATGCCTCCTTGACAATCTCCCTCAACGATCACACTGGAGAAGCCCCAATTAATCAGCATCTTAATACTTTCACGAAGCATAAGAATTTCTGCCATAAAGGCTGACTTAACATTCAGCATGAAATAATTAGATGGTCAAAAAGTGCCCCTTGGTCATTTTATGCGGTACTGACCCAAGCAATAAGTCTAAAGATTTTATATTCGAATTCAATCTTGAATGTAGTAATAAGGGAATTATAAAAAATTGCCCACGAACATAGAGGTAGGGCCTATAACTACTGTCAAGTTCATCAAAGCTCAAGTATTAATAATACATCCAACTCTCTATTTGAATTGAATGATTTGAAAAGAAAATGGACAAATTGTGAATTTTTTTTTTTAAAAACATAAATGCCATTTACCTATTTAGTGCTTCATTATGCAAAGCAGCAGGTAATTCTTTTAATTTCCTTTTTTTTGCATTTCGATTTACTCATATAATTTTATATCCAATCGCGAACTTGATTGATATATAATATACATTTATATTCACATAGCTTTAATGCATGTGCCCAAAAATTGGTCCGCTAGCTCTCTTAGCGTGTAGACAAGGGTGGCTTGAGCGCACACTAATCTAGAGTGACAATAGCCATTGGTATATAATTTAATTGACAAATAAACAGGTAAGGGATATGTTTCCAAAGTAAAAAATTAAAAATTAAAAATTAAAAAAGAACAACAACTCTTTTAAACTCCCTTAACCTGGTGATGTATCAAGTAATAAAAATGCTTATTACCAGCTTATTCTCTCCTAAAAATAAAAAATAAAAATAATAATCTAGAAATTTCAAGCTAAAGTCACCCACAAGCCACAGTACGTACAAAATTTGAGACAATTTCTTTATAATGCATAAAAGTTCACTGGGCAGGAAAAGCTTTTGCTATTGTCAAATGAGATGCAATTTATTAAGACTTAATGCACTATTGATATGCAGATTTTTGAGCTTCACCATAATCATACATAATGTTATTATAGTATTTATATTGCCTTTGAATCTAGTGTTGATGCTTTTCGTAATTAAGAACATTTTAGTCTCAAAAGATAGACCATCACCCCCTCGGATTAGTTGAGAGGGGTTTTGTGCTAAAAATTCAAAAGAAGGTTTATTGCAAATGGTGAAAAGTCAAGGAGGGTTTTCGCAATTCGTCCCAAAAAAAAAAAATGTAAAGTGTGTTGGTGGATTAAAGAATAACTTCTTCTTTTCTCCTCTCATAATTATTCTTATTCTTAATGAATCCCGATAATGCTACAAAAATATGAAATACCAACAAAAATTATACTTCCTCCGTCTAGGGATGGCAATGGGGGGTGTACCCTCCCTCGCCCCTACAATCGTTTAAAAATCTCACCCCCGTCCCCGCCCCTGTTCCCTCCCAAAACCACAAAAACGGGAGTATTTTTCACCCCATTCCCGTAACCGTTTAATATTTTTACCCCCGCGGGTATCTACTCAGTCCCGTTTAAGACCATAATTTATTTATTGTTAAAATAAATTTGCTCTTTTTTTTCCCCCTCATCTTCAATTATTCACCATTGCAAATTTCTTTTTAATCAAATTCATTTTTTACTTTAATATTGTTATATAGGGTACTAAATATATAGTGGAAAATATATATACTAATGAAATATGAGTACTTAAGTAATTTGCTTATCTAAACGGGACGGGACGGTGCGGGGCGACCTTCCCCCGCCCCCGCACCAAACCCGTGCGTGTTTTTATTACATCAAACCATATTCGTCCAAATAAATAAAACGGTCCCCCAAAATCGTCATAAACGGTGCGTGGTGGGACAGGTAACCGCAGGGGCGGATTAAATTGTCATCCCTACCTCCGCTCCATAATAGTTAGGTGCTTTGAATACCGTTCCCAAAACATCCGACCATTATGAGACACAGAAAACACGAACTCAGCGAACGTGCAATTTGGCCAGCTTTCTACCACACACTACTATTCATAGGTTGAAAAATTAGAATCATTTACGTTTAATCATCTAATTTCAAATCTACTACAATCAGAAATTCAAAGCTTAATTCTAACAGATGAAATGCTCCTGTGTGATTATATACTAAGCTATGGTCTAGGCCAAGGACAACATACCGCAGGATATAGAAGTAAATTAAAATGATAACTCTATCTACTTACTTTTTCATTCTACTAATCCTGTGCATCATATTTTATCATTGAACTTGATCAATTTGTGGCCTCCCAAAAAAATGGTTAATCAAGGCTGCAAATTGAATCTCAAGAAGTCCAATAACTTTACTGAAAATTTATATACACCCAGCTAAAAAAACAATAAGAAAACAACAAAATGTAGAAGTGAGGAAATTTGCCAACAATACAGAAATTAGTTCTACAAATTGAAATTGGTAATTGAAAAATTGCAGCATCAAAGAAAAGAAGACAACTTTATTTAGGTGAAGAACTATTACCTAATATACATTCTATCAAGAGCACATAGCCCAATCCATCTTGCAAAGCAATCATCATTCAAATAGAAGAAATTTGGGGCACAAACCACTAACTAGTGTTTCTAAACAATAAAGAAGATAATAATAATAATAATAATAATGCTTAATCCATAGCAATAAACCACTCAACCACGAAGCAGAATGTCTTCCTCTAGTCTGCTCTTGACTGGCCAGCTCGAGAAGAGAGAATAATACCGACAATAAGGCCATAGAGAGCTAGAGCTTCAGCAAAGATGAGAATGAGAATCATCCCAACAAAAAGCTTTGGCTGCTGTGCATTGGCTCTGGAAGATACAAAAATAAATCAGAATAATAATTATTTAGTAAGAAAACAAGAAGCACAACCAAAGCAATCACTGGTATCTGCTTCCTGGACAAACTTAAGCCAACTTGATCAATTTCACTGAATTGAACATTAATGCACAAAAATACTAAAGTTCACAAGAGAAGCATGCAACTAAAGCATATAAATTTTTAAATTATACCGTTACAAGGGGAAGATCTCGGCACCCCGCCCAAATCGCCAGACAAGTTACCAATTAAAATTTTCATTTGTTACAAGCTTCATTATTCCTACCTCATTCTTAAAAAGCAAACAAACACCAAAAGAACCTAAACAATATAGATTAACAAGAAAACTCCAGGATCAACATTCTTCAATAAATGAACCACCGACCCCAGATTAAACTTCTGAGAATGCAAGGACAATATATCCTTAATTATTAACTAGAAAACAATGAAACAAGAGTGAAAAATCTTTTAACACCACTTCCATAATTGAATTCAATTAAACCAAAGGTCTAGCACACCAAAAATTAAATAAAACATACACCACCATGGATAGCAATAATGCTTTTCAACATATTTCGGAATGTTGTAACATTAGTTTGACATTCAATTAATTGGAAGGCCCAACACACTATCAAACCAAATTAATATATTATAGATCATAGATATAAGTTATAACCTAAAGACCAAAGAAAAATAAATAAATGAATAAAAGAGAGAGATTCAAGTACCCAGTCAATCAAAATTTCCAGTCATAGACAAATTTATATATAAAAAGAAATTAAAGTACCCATCCAACCAAATTTGCAAACCTAGATAAACTTAAATATAAATCTAAGGGAGAGATGATCAAAGTACCCATTCAAACAAATTTGCAATCCTAGACAAATGTAGATATATAAAACAATTAATACATTAAATAGAGATTAAAAATCTAAAGAGAGAGATTAACCTAACACCGGCGTCTCCGACGATTCCAATAGCCATACCAGCAGAAAGGCCAGCAAGGCCACAAGAAAGACCAGACGAAAGGTGGGCATAACCATCAAAAAGATAGTAAGATTTGGCCTTGGGATTAATCCCAGTACTGATGATGACAGCTATAATCAATCCATAAATACCCAAAACACCAGCCATAACCACCGGAACAATCGACTTCATCACCAGCTCCGGCCTCATCACACCCATCGACGCCACTCCCACCCCGCTCTTCGCCGTGCCATACGCTGCCCCCATACCTGCAACACCAAATAGATATACATGTATATGTATAACAGATCTATATGGAGTAAAGACTAGATCGATGTTGAAACTAGAGATCAGAGAATTAGGGTTTGACGGAATTACAGGAGAAAACTAAGGCAGCTGCAGCACCGAGGAAGCCGAAGAACGGTGCCGTTTCATCGCCGCTGAATTCCGCAGCAGTCATGTTTTTGTTTTTTAGGGCTTCGATTGGCAGAGAAACCGATTGGATCTGAGAATTTGGCTCTCTCTCCGCACAGTGTTGTTGATCAATCAATCTCAATGGCCTCTCTCTTTTTCGTGTCGTCTCGATCTAGGCCTTAACAACGGGAAACCAAGTTTGATCCACAGACTCTCTCTAATTACATATTTACCCTCCAATTTCAGTCCTTGAATTTTATATTGTCACTTTTTTATTTATTCTTAATAAAAGATAGCACTCCCTACTAAATTATACACCGTAATTCTTAGTAAATAGTAGTCCCGGTCCAAAATTAGTTGCCCATTGGAATATTTCAAAATATTTGTGTACTTGGTAAGTTAAAATATTTTAAAGGGTTAAGTACAAAAAATTCCTACGCTATAAAAATATATATAATTCTCTGTATTATATATCTTTTGAGCAAATTATTTTTCCTTATTGAAAAATAGCATTTGGTGATGTCATTTTTTTAAAAAAATCTACAAAAATATATATAACTCTCTGTATTATATATCTTTTGAGCAAATTATTTTCTCCTATTGAATAAATTTATTGAAAAATAGCAGTTGGTGATGTCATTTTAAAAAAAAAAAATTTTTAAATTTGTATAACAATAATGCCATTATCAATTTTGTATATATTTAAAACAATGAATGTGTTTGTTTGGATGGACTTGAAGACATATTCATGGAAATCTTCCTCTATAATTTTTTTTTTCTCTCTCTAAGTATGTTGCCTTTAGCAATCTATTACCCATAAGACATCCTTTCTTATATTATTTTTATGATACTATATTTCATTTGGTTTGTCAAGTGAGATTCTGGAATCTGTACATCATTTTTAATTTTTTTAAAACATTATTTATTTCAATATATATATATAGAAACATAGTCTTTCTTGCAAATATTCTTTTTTAATTCTACAATTTCTATATATTTTCCTTCCATTCCTAGAACTCTCCTTTTATAAGAAAATATAATCTCTCTCTATTTTTTTTTTTTTTTGACTCCCTAAAATTTCTGTGTTGCTGATTGTACATCTCTCTAAAATAGAGCACCCGGAATTAGCAAGCCCCAAGAAATTCCATAGTTCAGCGGAGAGCACAACCCAAGAAGACGTTACTTGACCTGTTCCAAAAAATCAGCAATCCAATTCCAATCTCTTCAAAAAGATAAAGAGAAAAATTAAGGAGTTACAAAATTTCGGTATAAATAGATATAAATCATAAAAAAAAAAAATAGAGATATATGAAAAATAGAGAGAAAATTAAATAAAAAAATTACATCTTGTATTTAGAGGAGGCCACATCAAAGCAATATCAGGAAGTTTGGATCAATTCTATTAGTATTTCATTTGGGTGGACTTGTTTATTTTTTATCTGCAAATTTTTGCACTTACATATTCATTTTTCAAATTTTAACTTTGTGCACAAATACAACATGCCATTCTTTACAAATTAAGCAGTGTTATCAAAGACAGAGACTGTATGTGTGTGTATATAATTATGTAGAGTATTGTTATGTTATGACAGATATAGAAGGAAAATCGTTAAATCATATATGAATTTAAGGATAACTTTCACATTTTGCCTTTTGCTTTTTTTTTTATGTCCTTTCTTTTCTTTTTGTTAACAGTAGAGTATGGTTAATTTAATAATTTTATTGCCAAAATTATAATTTGTCCTTATTTGCACAAATTGATTAAAAAAAGTAGGGAGGTAATCGCATATTTTGTATATTACGAGGGAAATTTTGCATTTAATCTCATTTTAAATCCTTTTGTAAATACCTTAAAATTTTAAGAAATTTCAAACTTGATTATATCTAATCCCAAAAGAGACATCTAATAGAGGAGTATCTCATTTTACCATTTAATCAATAACATTATCATATTATAAAATTATTTCACTTCATGCATCAAACCCGGTGGTTTTTTTTTTTTTTTTTCCTTCATTAAACCAAGTGATTTGAAGGAGAAATTTTATTACTCTTGATAATTTTTCTATTTTGATAAATTAATGCTATTTTGCCCTTGATTATATATATATATAAAAGATTAACATTAATTAGAAAGAGAATTACAATCAACAGAAAAAGTTGCTAGTAATCAAGAAGACCAAACATGTCATTCAAGGTCGGTTAACTTTCTGATGCAATGCCCATTTATTCACACAATGAGCAAAAATGCGTCACAATTTCTAGACACCCAGCACAAAGTATAATCCAAAGGAGGCAAGACTAAGAGTAACACACTAACACATCAAATTCATGTACACCATTCCAAAGTTTTTTTAACCAGTCCCACTTTTGATACCAGTTACCACTACAACTTTCAAAATTTAATCGAAGAGAACTAAGTCACCACACCAATTGTGCAACTGGACAATCAAACAAAACATGGCAAGTTGACAGGTTCTTGCATATGTCCGAAGAAAGCTTGAAACAATGCATGGAATAAGCAGGTAATGCGGCTAAACAGATCTAACAAGAACTTCTCTGAATGTTTTAGTTTTAATTGAAACCTTATCCAAAAGGTCCCAAAAAGACTCCTCTTGGACCCTCATTCGGAGCAATTCTCAAAACCTCTCTGAATTGATTTTGGGATTCAGACTTCGAAAGAGAGAGTGCCAGAAGATAAATGAAAAGGGGTTGAAAGAAGAAAGCAAAATAACCTTTGACTATGTCTCATTTGGTATGATAAAAGAGAGGAGTGAACCCATCTGGACCAGGGGCTTGAAAAGCTCGATTGAGCTAATAGCCATCTTCAGTTCATCCTCGGAAGCATCTTTCAGTTCATATCGCTGACTAGTACTGTAGAAGAGTAAAGTCGATTGAGCTAATAGCCATCTTCAGTTTATCCTCGGAAGCATCTTTCAGCCTCTGCAACTTGCCGCACCTCTGCCAGAGAATCACACCATTGACTAGTAGTATCTTCAATACCATTAATAGCATTCTTCCTCCTCCTAGTGATTTGAGTTTCCGTGAAAAATATTCACCATGCCTCGGTCAATCAATCATGGACTTCTGTTTCCAGTAGTGTTTCCACATAGTCTAATATATTCTTCCAAGCTAATCCCAGCTCTCTCTCTAGCCTAATATATTATGCATTTCTTATCGAAGTTTACACTAGTGTACCAAAGAGAAGCTAATTTCCTTTGCAAATCTTTAATTCTGCAACTAGAATTAAACCATCTAACTCTACTCCATACCTAAAAAACATTTATCGCAAAAATCAATAGAAGCTTTTTAGATCCAAAATTGGCAAGGAAAAGAAAGAAAAAACAAGAATCACCAATTAGACACAGAATTTTGTTGTAGTCCTCAACTCGAGTCTGCTCTGCATTCATCTAACCACCAATCATCAACTCTGGCATATGAAGGTTTTGTGTGACATCACCTTTTAGCATGTTCAGACCGAGAGCCACCATCGACCGACCGACCACAGTTGAGCTATAGATGGCTGTTAGATCATCAACGTCAGTCGCTATAATTACCATCAACAACAACACTGCAAGCACCATTGCAAGTATAGTTCTCTCTTGTGCAACCCACAGCAAGGTTTGTGTCTATCCCCCAGGATGCATATAGAGTATGGATGTGGTGAAGTTGAATTGCCATTGGGTCTTTCACTATCAAAGTTTTGATGGGTTTTTTTCCTCAGAATTCCGTCCATAAAAAGCTTGAATGACTAAAAATAGAAAAACTTCATATACTACTACCACCAGCACCGACACCACTATGCTTAGAGTTAAAAGATAGATGACATACAAATAGGTAATAGTTCACAGCTTTCACCCCCCCATCAGCTCACCTTTACAAATTCTCATAAATAAATAAATAAAAATTTAAAGAAAATAAACAACTCCATCCCACACATTATCAAATAAGATGCTACTTTTCTTAATATAATAGCTATAACATAAGCCTGATCACACAGATTATATGTGAACAAACACCTCGGTGTGACTTGAACCATATTTATCGACTTTCAGTTTCTCAGTCGGAAGAAAATTTCATTTCAGTCCATATTCTTTAATCTGTTGACATAAATAAAGCCTCAGAATCAAGATATGCTCGCAGCATAAACTATAATGCCACCATCACAGCAGATCCCTAGACCTAGTTGAACAGGCACATTCAGAGAGAAAGAAGAAGATTAAAAACAACTCATCAAGGCCTGACAGAAAAAGAAGAACATAACATTAGCACATGAAGAACAGAAGATAGGTCAAAAGAAGACTGCAATTGTACTGAATGGAAAAAAATAAATATATAACAATCAAAAAGAGGGCATACCTCTCATTCATGAGACTCCACCAGTATCTTCTCTTAATCTGGCAACAGCCAAAAACAAGTGTAAGCTAAACAAAGCTAAAGCTGGAACAAAGTGAGGATGACAATTTGAATGACTTCTCTTTGGAATGGCATAAAACGTGATAAGTTCTACATTTTGCTTTTTTGCTGAAGTGGAGATATTGAACTGCATCTGCTATACAGTTAAAAAAAAAAAAAGAAAAAAAAAGAAGCTAGACTGACAGGAAAGCATCTCACCTTTTCACAAGTACAATCACCAATATATCAACATGATATGCTCAGGTAAACCTTCAAAAATATTGATGTGAGACAAACAAACATGGATGTACTCCCCCACCCACCCCCACAGAAAGAGAAAGGGAAGGGAGGGAGGGAGGTAGTGAGCTGAGGCAAAGGAAAACCATAGATCTCTCACAAAGACGACCGCAGATGCAAGAAGAAAGAAGAAAAAAAAAATAAAAAATGAAAGCATTCATTTCGCTTGAAATTCTGAGTTTCAATTTCATAAATCAGAAGAACTGAGAGAGAGAGTATCTGGTATACTTGCTGATACAAAAACAATCCTACTCTGTACATAAATCTGAAGAAAAGGTCAAAAACATGTCTTATCTATGGGGTTACCCAAAAAAAGGGGGGGGTTCTCAATTTCATATCCCTAGAAGTACAATCTTGATTTAAGATTAACCTGTGCAAGTGAGCCCCTGTTGAAAACACCGAACCAATGTCTGTGATGCAGATGAGCTAAACTATTCACATTTGCATTGAGCACAATTGCAATGCAGGAGGCCTTTGCCAAAACTAAAAGAGATATTTTCCTGTAATACTCGAGCACAAATTCTGTCTGAAACAGCAAGCCACCAAAAGTTCAGAAATTCAGAAGAACGCCCGTCAACTATAATCAAATTGATAGATGGTTAAATAAAAACATCTCCTTTCTTCTACTGCACCTTCCGAATCACTAGCAGCATAAGGAGTGGTCTGGTATGATGAATTTTAAATGAGAAACCCAATCCAAAGCCGCCACCCTGGCGAGGTATTCCACTGCCGATTTGTGCTGTGAACTCATGATGGAACAAACAGGAGCACACTTCCGTGACTGTTGTGCAGAAGGGCATCAGAAACTATGATCAATCAATCTTCGGGACCATCATGTTTTAACGACTGGTTTCATTGTCATGTGCGTCTCAATCAACTTGTCCACAAAGGATCGAATCTGCATGACAATTTAATAAAATTGAAAAAAATAAAATAATTAATCAAACACATCAAAACACACACAGGCATCCTATGAAACCTAAACTGAAAAGATATTTTAACATTGTTAAACAGCACTACGGCTCCGACGCTAAGTACTTGAGATGAATATTTGTCAGGCAGTAGAGGGTGATTCCCACAACATAGGTTAAAATTTTAAAACTGGAAAACTGGTCTCTTCATGTTGCATATCAGAAATCAGACATAATTTGGGCTATTATTAGAAATTAAGCAATGACAGGATATTGACGACACCAACTCCTCAGGAAGTGGAACTCAGCCAAAAAGAAAGGAATACAATTTGAAAGATGATATTCACAGCAACAGAAGGAGCATATTTGGGAATGGGATCTCTGCAGAGACAACTTTACAATGGAACATATTAACTATATTAACATAAAAATGAAGTTCACACCTTATTTTTGCGCTTGAAATCGAGAAACTCGTAAACAGCCATGGATTTCTCAGCATCAGTAGTCTGCTCCATTACCTGAAATTAGAAGAAAGGTAAGGCCACAAAAGAGAGAAGGCAGTGGGGATACATGTAAACAAAGCAGAGTAATCTATAACAGGGAGGGTCATTGCCACAGCTGTTAATTTGCTTCCACGACTTTTGGCATAAAGATGTAGAAGTCCACTTTGCTGACACAACCAAACAACTGTGCATTGCCAATATATGACTGGTTACCAAAAATTATTTTCTTAAGAAAATTTTATAATAAGAACCCAAAAAGTAAAAGGGTGGAACAGGAAGAAGAAAAAGATTGGACCTTGGTTGCAGTTTTTTTCATTATTGACTTGTATCCTTCCTTATCAATTTTCCTTGCTTTATAAAGAGGCATGAGCAGCGACGCAACATAATCTACAACAGCCTGTTTAATATGCTCCGCTCTGGGTTGATTTTCAGCCAACTCCTTGTTTACTGTAACTTGTGAGGCAGAACTCTCATTTGCTAACCCTTTGTGCTTCCTTTTAGGTACCTCTGAGTTCATATTTGAGTCCTCCTCATCCCTTATGTGCAAAGTCCGCTGGTAGAAATCAGAGTCAGCAGCAGCTGCCTGAGATTGCCATCTCTCAATAGCATTATAGTCTTTTATCCCTACGCTTCCAGAAGCATCAACCCATGCTTTCGTGAATATGCTGCTGTCTACAGGCGCACTTTCTCCAGAGTGTTCTCTGAAGTTCAACTGGCATGCAATCTCATTCGAGTGGCTACGTTGAGAGAGGTTATCAACTGACATTTTTGAACTGTCAAGATTGACACACGCAGCAGAGAAATCAACAGACCAGTCCCTAACTCTGCAATTACGAGAATCTATTTCAGATAGACAATCCTGTCTTCCGAATGCTCCGCCAGACCACTTCTTTCTCACATCAGACTCGTCCATCTGTGCGTATTGCTCACGTCTAGCAAATTTATGGAATGATGGTATCTTAGGAAGCTGCAGCGATGTGTTGCACTTGGCTCCAGTAGATGCATATGCCTGCAATGTTAGATAACCATTGAATTGTTGAAAACATTTAAGGAGAAAGACGGAGCAGGAATTCATCCCCCTAACCCCACCCACATCCCATGAACACACTCTGGGTGCAGAAGTTCAGTGCCACTGGCATCTAGGCCTTTTTCCAGTAAATATAATAATAATTAGAAACCACCTCAATAGAAGATTATCGCAGGTATATTTGATAAGTAGAAATATCCTAGATATATTAAACAAATCAGAATATAGAATAAAATTCTAGCACAATCTTACTATACTAAAAATAAAATAAATAGTCCGGCTAAGAAAATAATATGAGATGGTATTAATGTTATGACATAGATGATAATAAAGAGCCAAGTTTTGTTCTTTGGTCTTTGACCAAAATAAATTCTGCTCGATATTGAAAAGAAACGAACCTATAGAATATAGGTCCAAATGTGAAAAGCTTTTTCAAATGACACACTTTAATACCATAAAATTATAAAATATAAGTACCCATAAAAAAGTTATTGTACAGCTTACACGTTAAACAACAATAGAAACAAACCTCAGCAGCAGCTAGAGCAGCAACACGGGCTGCTTCTGCAGCAGCAAAGGCAGCCTGTTCTTCTGCAGACATGGCAAAATTCTGGCCCTCCTCCCCTTTGGCTTCCTGTCTGCCTACTGAACCTTGAGACCTTGATGACTTAACCTCTGATTTTGAGTCAGCCCTTGTTTCCAATTTTACAGGCTTGGCATTCACTTTCTTCGTGTTTGCACTTGAAGGCATATGACTTCCAGCAGATGCAGAAAACTGCGAACTTCCTCTATTATCTGGTGTGCCATGATGTGTGCGTGGAGGTGCCTTTCCTGAAGCAAGATTAAATTTGCTTTTGAAAGAATCAACAGCAGTTGATTGTCTCAGTAGCTTCAAACCACCATTAGACGCCTTTTCCTTGCGGAAAATCTCAATCCACACGCTAACCAGCTGACTTGCTATGGCACGTATATCACGGCTAGTATGCACACAAACTTTTTCTTTCACAGTTTTTCCTATGCCTACACAAACAGTACACATATCATAAGTCTTAGCAAGGAACATAGTATGCAAGAGGAAAATATGGGTGCGAACTTAGCTTCGGGGAAGGAGAAGTTCTAACAATCGTTCAGGACATAATATAAATGAAGCTTTATATCAATTAATCAAGCATCCCCCAACCACTTAAATATCCCATGAAAGACCAACCAGCCACAAAGATAATTTCAACGAATAACAGCGACCCCTTGATATTGAAGGAAATAAAACAATTGGGAAATACAATTCCTTCATATTTATTTTATCTTAAAACATATACTCCCTCTGTTGCAAAATAAGTGTCTTGCTTTCCTTTTTGGCATGTCCCAAAATAAGTGTCTTGCTTTCCTTTTGGGATGCTTCAAATTTTAACTTTCCCAAATTGTCCTTAGGTTTTGAAACGTTTTCAAATAAATAAAGTACTTGTCTAAATTTTGTTGGCTGTAGTTTTGTAATTTTCAACACATGTCCTCTTAAAAAGTCGGAGTCCCAAAGTGAGACACTTATCAGGGACTCAGGGAGTAATAAATAGTCCAGCAGACGCCATCTTGGTGGCATCTGGAACTGTATGAGGAGTTTCTTATGGAAGTTTCTTCAAAACATACCTCAAGACCACATACTAAAAACATAAAAATAAAAACCAAAACCCATATATGAGTAGGTGCAGAAATGTTGTCCTCATTTACAGATACTACAAATAGAACAAGATACGAGAGATCAATACCTGACAAGCGGACTGCAAGTAGATCGGTTGAAACAAGCACAAGAAGACGAACACAATGGCGCAAGAGTTGAGTCCCATCCTTCCCCATTGAATCCTGTTATGAAAAGTACAACATATATGCTCAGAAATAATCAGTTGCCTAAGCATGATATACCACTTGTAAATTCAAAATATTCCAGAGACAGAATGATAAATAACTACACACACATACCAATATCCATGAGTTGAGTGTGCTCAGCCCATCCTTTGACCCAGCAAAGGACTTCAGAGCTTCAATAGGAAGATTCAACAACTCTTTTGCCAGATGCAATCGTCCAGCAGTAGTTTTTGCACCATAGAACATATCCTGAAGTAGATCCTCCCTGGTCAAAATCTGGGCCCCATCTAAAGAGTTCTTGTACAGGACATTTGAAAGCTCAACAGCCTCAAGTCTTTTCATAATGTCCCTCACTTCATTCCTTTCACTGTCTGAATGTCTCTGTGCAGCCTCTATTGCTTCCACTTCTGCTGTATAATCATTTCCACTACGCAATATATCGATTATACGCACAGCCTCTCGAAGCCCACTCATCATTGCACCACCAACAGTGTCCGGATGCTCCTTGCAGGTAGCTTCACCAGCAAAAAATACACAGTTCTCGACAGGCCTACCCAACATATCGTAATCTTCTCCCGATGCCCCCACGGCAACATAAGAGTATGCACCATAGCTAAATGGATCCCTTCCCCAGTCTGTTACTACTGATGCAACTGGATCAGGTACTGAAGCCTCCCCAAAAAGTTTACGGAGTACCGTTAAAGCATGGTTTACATGATCAGATGAGCTCATATTTTGGCCATCTATAGCTGCCTTACCAACAACTAAGGCAATAAGAACAGGCGCCCCAGCTGTTTTTTTGACATTCCAGAACATAAAGCACTGGCCCCTCTGGTTCGTTCCCTCAGCAGTTGCACCAAAGTAATCAACAGAATCATCCCAAAACACCTCTGAGAATTCCATAACTACTTTATTGAGAACACCAAAACCGAGCTGCTGGATGGACAAATGTTTCCATTGCGGTAATGGAGGCGAAAATGTAATGCTTTCTGCTTTTAAACACCCCAGAGGCACTGTAATAAGGACAGCATCCCCTGAAAATTCTCTGCCATTTGATGTGGAAACTTTTACTTTGCTACACTGGTTATCATTTACTCCACAGTCCTTTGTGATATAAGAAATATCTGTGACCACATGGTTTAAGTGGATACAAAGTCCTTCTCCCAGAGATTCAACAACAGTGCTATAACCCCCTTTAATCATACAATGAGCTCCTCCAAATCCTCCATAAATATCATCTTGATTCCAGTAAGGAAGAGACACGTTCTTAAGCAATGCAGCACAACCATACTCCAGATTGGCAAAATGCCAATCCATGACCCTCCTCTCAAGAGGACTCAAAATCTCCTTCAAACTATTATTCTCGGAAATTTTTCCATCACTAATTTGTTCAGAACCAATAAAGGAATCTGCTGAATTATGCAGTTCACTTTCCACATAATTCCGTCCCAATCGAACTTTGTGACGCCTCTTTAGGGCATACTCTAAACCATCCTCAAGAGACATTTTCATTGCTTGTTCCCCCTTCTGTGCAACAAGTAATACCATGTCATCAAGGAGGCTGTTGAATTCCGCTTCCAAACCTTCATCTAAATCTGCAGGAACTCGCTGAGCGGAAACAATATCATAAAGAGGGCAGTCACTATTCAATACAGTCAATTCAAGGCCCAACTGCGCACAAACCAATGACGAAGGATCTGGTCTTCTTTCTGTAGCAACATCTGCCTCAACACCTGTAATAATGCTAGCCCCAAGATCCACGGGAACTGAAAGGGATGAGCGATCCGTATAGACACGACCCCCTATTCTACTCCTAGCTTCAAGAACAGTAACGGAAAAACCCTGGCGCTGCAAGTGGCGTGCTGCAGCTAAGCCAGCAGGACCTGCTCCTATGACAATGATTCTGTTTCTGACTTCTGAATCACACTGCATACGATGATTCCCCTCTATGGAATCATTTGAGGAAGGTTGAACACCATGCGAGTGCTTCATGAAATCTGAAGTTATAACAGGGGCTATTCCACCATCCAACACTTCGCAAGATGGATCAGAAATCCAAATATCCAAATCGACCATTTTCTTGGGCAGTTTTGCATCAATGCCACCATTTTCCTGGTATCCATCAGCTTGACATTCTTCAGGTTTTGTTTGGGTGGATAATTCAACTGCCTGTAGAGTAACAAGCTCCCCATCTTTAGTGGCTCCTGCAGCCCGATTTTCATGATCAACTACGACACCATTTTTCGTCTCCATGGATGCCTCAGAATTCCTACCCCGGCCAAGGATAAAGGAAACTCCATCATCTGAATCAGCAACAAGAGCACCAGATTTTTCTCCAAAATTTCTCTCTTTTAAAAGTTTGAAATTATGTTTAGCATTAGGTTCTGCTCTCTCCTTTTCAGAAGCAACTCCTACATTTATATAACCCTGTTGAGAATATGTTAGCAATTGGAAACGAGACAGAAAATAATAATAATAATAAATAATGCCAACATGCACCACCGCTGAAAAACTAAAAAAAAAAAAAAATGGTTTTTCTTTCTATTTTTTGTTTTTTCCTTGGGGGTTAGGGGTGTGGCATCAGATAAGTCACTGAAAACATAACACAGGGGTTCCCCTAGCATTCAAAAGAAACAAGTGGTACATCAACTCCAAAGGCAAAAAGGGGGAACAAAATCAAATATAACCATGATGAAATTTAAAAATAGACTTACACTGCAGTCAAGAAATGCGTAAATCTCCCTAAGTAGAGAAGCATGCGGTGGTTCATAAGCCGAAGGAGTAGCAGTGACTCCACAGTCTGTGATAGGTAAAATACGGCTAACATCTTTACTCCAAAGACTTAAGATCTGATTCCTGCATTGCAGTTAACAATTATATTCTAATTGAGAAGGCAGAGATTATTTAAACAGGAAATCAAGAGGCAACCATTTTGTAAACAGAAACATCAGTCTAAGTTACCAGACCAAAAAAAAAAATAGCTTGATGATTTGCATTGGCCAAAAAATCATCTGAAGACATTTCAAGTTCAGAGGATGAGTATTGCAAAAAGCAGGCATGTCAACATATCATAAGGTTAAAATTGATATCCTTTGACTCAACAAAAGGTTAACAACAACAGATTAAAAATAACAGCTTTCAAGAGGGCAACACTATTGCTTTTACAAACTTTCTCCTTTATTTTCTAGACACAAGAATCAATGGCAAGTCTGGGTCCCACTAGTGAGCACCCAAACATAGACACTGCCAGCAAAATTCCAACTCCAGCACCAGCTACAGTTGGGTTGGTTTCTAAATGTAATGGAAGTAAACACATTCTGAGAGGGAAACTTGAACTTTGACCACATTTACATCTATATTTAAATGTATTTTGAGATGAATATGTCAAATATGGACTACATATGGACTCCAAAATGATGTTGTGTCCCATCCCTTCATAAACAAACCAAATGTGCGCAAATAAGAGGAGAGGATGTGGACAGTGGAAGAAGGAAGACCCCATGATAGCCGCACTCTTAAAGAAAGCACTTTAATCCAGTCTCAAAATAATGCAAAAACTGAGCAATCACTTACCATTTATGTCTTAAGAATAAAGAGGCTAAACTTGAAATCCTAGGTCCAAAAATAGCACAGGGAAAAGAAAAAAATTAAATGAAGAACAACTTAAGCATCAAGGACCATAGAAAAGCCTAAACTACAGAAAATCCTTTTGGTAAAATTTCTTTGAATGATGAATAAGGTTTGGTAGTGAATCTGTACCACATCCAAAATCTCCAAAGAATATCCCCAAGAAACAGAAAACATCATAATCACTATTTCAAACAATTTTCCTTGATCCATGTAGGCAACACTTGCAGAATTGCAATACTTCATTCTATTCTATCTAACTGATAGACAGGTTAGTAGCAAACTCAATTTGCAAAAATCCAAATAAAATAGATACTAACAAAGGAAGTCTTGAGGCATCCCAGAATTGTCCTGTAGAGGAATCCTTGGTAATGCTACCAATCCCTTTATGTCAGTGCCATATTGGAATGCTCAATATACCAGGTATACATATAAGAAAGGTAATTACACTAACCTCCCATGGAGTTAGGTCTAACTAAAGGTAACCCCCTTACAACAGGAAACCACCAACTTCCCTACTTCTATATTTTGATTATCAAATTCTCCTTTGTCAGTTTATTGCTGTACAAAATATTATATTAAAAAAAATAATAATAAAATAAAAAAGAGTTCACCAATAATGAAGTCAACTCTGAAACACGAGGCCTGTATACCCTCAATGTTAATCAATAGGAAAAGTTAAGCAAGAAATGAATTAACCATAATTATTTATGGGCCCCAAGTTATTCTCTCTCTGCACTGCAATGAACCAACCAATGTGCATCAGCATCCCACCATCCACAAATCTCCAACCCTCTCCACCCCCCCCCCCCCCCCCCCCCAAAGCACACACTCACCAAAAATATATGAAGAAGAAAAAAGTTCCCTCCTAAACCCCGACAACATCACCACCAAGCCATCTCCGCCATTTTCATCTCCTTCGCAAGTTACTTTGATATTATCTATATTATTGTTATCATTACTTTTATTTGTTGTCGAATTTTGTGCATCTAGGCTCCGTTTGGTTGGACGTAAAATATTTTTCAGAAAATATTTTTTTATTTTCTAGTGTTTGGTTGTCAAAAAATATTTACGAAGAAAAAAAATATAAAAATTTAACAAAAGTAACTTATCCATCAATTTTCAGCAAGTTATTTTACATGCCCCGCCCGATAGACTCGATCTCAACCTCGACATAGACCTTTGCCAAATACCGACAAATAAAAATAAAAAAATATTTTACCTGAAAAAAAATATATATTTTCCAAAAAGAATATTTTAAACGGAGCCGTAATTCATAAGCGTCCACTATTCCCCCAAGGCTTCCTAACACTACCATCCCTGGTCAAGTCGTATCCATGAGAGGGAAGAGAGAAAAAGGCAAGAGTGGGGCAGGGGATTCTGGAAGTTAACGATTATATAGGTTACTTTTGTCATTTCAAATGATCCCTATAACATCAGCAAATCACTGGCAAATCAGTTTATTATTACTATTATTACTAGAACTAGACAGAGCAGCTTTGTAATTTCACATATTCTGTTAGGGGTTTTAACTTTGATAGGGTGTCGGAGTATTTTTGTAGAAGTCTAATCTGAGTGAAATTTGCAAACTTCAAGGGATGTCATAATTAAATGATCCTAAGAAGTCTTGGCTCCTCAAATGCATTTGATAAATAATATTATATTTTTTTGGTTCCACAACAATGAATACAGTCAAAACTCATACAATCACAAGTCTTATACAGTAAGATTGAAATTGCATGTTAATAACTTCAAGCATAAGCATGAATGACAAAATACGTAAAATAAGATAGCTTTCATATAATGACAAATTCTAAAAAAAGGGCCAATTGACTAAATGCGGCCAAATTCATATTGTAAACATCTAGAAACACAACATTGTAGGTAAACAATGCAGTCAGGTTGAGACTGATAACTAACCTGCATTCTATATATTCCTGAAGCCCACCCTTTTGCTTCAATACCTCCTTAAACTTAATCTTCTCAACTGGACCAACTGCATGAGCTTTCAACCCAGCTGAGACTGCTGCTGCACCTCCATTTTCAGCCTCTGCAACTGTAGCTGAAGAAGAACTGAACTTATCTCTTGTTTTAAAGAACTGGTCACTGTCTCCAACCTGATGGCTTCCAAGAAATCCTTGCTCATGTATCAGAATTTCCCAATCAACATCCCCTTCATAAGCCATGTCCCCATGCCTACACTTTTTAGGCTTTCGCGCAACACGCTGGACTAATATTTTCTTATTATCTTTATTTCCAGGATCAGGCACAGAGCCTGCATCTTCGGCAGAACTATCATTACGATCTGCAATAAAGGTTGGAGAAGAGTCTCCATTGGCCTCTTCATCGAGAGAGAGATAATCCCGACCCGGAATGCATGCCCCTTTGGATGCATCTTCAGAAGGATGTTTTTTATGGGAACTAGAGTTGCACTTCTGAATTGAAGTAACAGACTCGGGAAGACATAATTCCTGCAGATAATTATTACAGTTATCACCAGTCTCCAGGGATTTCTCCGGGTATTTCATCAAAACAATCTCAGATTCATGTTCTCCACAAATTGTGGGTGGAAGCGACCTAGTATCAGATACAGACACATCTTCCTTTTGTGAAGAAACTGAAGCGAGATCTGGCTCCTCAATGCAAGCACTATGAATTTGATTTGCAGCTTCATAATCACTTAAAGCTGCTTCTTTTGGAGAACCAGTGGCAGTATAGAATGAGTGAGGCTGAGAATGCTGGGAATCTTTCAGACATTGATCAAAAGCAAGCCCTATTTCAAATTTCGAAGCCATCTCCATCTTATCATTACATGGCGAAGAGTTTTGAGGTGGGGTTTTTGCTGAGCCCTCCAAACTTTTTCCAGTAAGGTTCATGTTAGACATATATCCACATGGTCTATTCAACGAATCATCATCAGAACAAGGTCCCTGAATTTCTTTTCCAAAAGAAGAAGAATTTTTCTGGTCAGTAATTGGAGGGTAAACCGTCAAAAGACCCTCAGATTGTTTATCCAAATTTTCATTAGGCCCTACATTTGACACACCCTTCTCAAACAGATGGGTTTCCTCCATTTGTTCTGAAGCAGATACCAGATTGCACAAATCAATATCATCATGCACCAAAATTCTAGCCTTCCCCAATGAATAATTCTTTAACCCATCATTTGAATTGCAGATTTCTGGTGTAGGCTCTTGAGTAGGAAGAGAACAATTGTTTTTCACTTTCACACAAAGAAACTCCTTAGAATCGCCATCAGAAAGATGGTCTGAGCCACAGCAAACCTCTGTGGGTCCCAGTTGAATCCCAGCAGTCTGTCTATTGATTTCACTGTCTTGAGATCTGGCAATCTTATTAGAACATGCACTTAAGCAGGATTGAGACCTTTGAACTAAGGAAATTGGAACTGAATCCTCCAGAACTGCTTCAGAATATCCACCAAATGTGTTATCACTAGATCTCATAATCTCATCTGTTACTGGTGCAGAAGCAAGCTCTTGCATGGGATCACCGGATAACAAATCCTTTTCTCTGCAGTCAGAAACTTGACACAAATTATCAACGGAGCTCTGAGATATCTCAATGTTGTTCTGATCAGCGGAGCTTGGGCTTGATCCCTCCCTGAGAACTTGAGGATCCCTTCTCTGTTTCGATCTCAAAGAACTGCGAGATTTCCTAATCAAACCAGATTGTGCTCTTCGGAAAAATTCAGACAATGAATCTTCTAAATTTTCATCCAAACAGTGATCAGAACTCTCTCCAGACCTTAAAACGAACTCGTCCTGATTCTGTGTGGAATCATCCCCACATCTCTGACAATCCAAAGCATCATCAGACTCAGTATTGCTTCCATTTTTCTTCAGGTTAAAAGCAAGCTTGGTTCTCTTGATCCTCGCTTTACCTCTACTTTCTAATTCGTTACTGATAGTCCCGTCACCAATCACCTGACCTGTCTCAACAATTTCTGAAATTGATTCCACAGCCAAACCTCCATCCTTTACAGGGCCATTCAAACATTGACCCGAGGGCTCCGCTGCAGTCATACCCAGACTTCTTCCCATGGTTACCCCAGATCCACCATCTTTCTTTGGACCCTTCAGCTTCTTTTTAAAACTAGCCAATGTATCATCCATACCCCCCAAATCTTCGTCTTTAACAACCAGTTTCTCTACCCCGACCTCAATCTCCTTGCCCTTATCACTGCCACCATCCAATCCTACCTTAACCTTCTTAGGGTTTCTTTTGCTTTTAAACTTCAGTAAAGACCCTATGGGCTCATTATCATCCGAATCAAACCCAACCTCAATAGGTTTCAGTTTTCTCTTAGATCCTGACTTCCTCTCTTCCCCATCCATCTTCTTAACCCTAGGTTTTGGAGATAAACACTGCACATCAAACCCTACCCCAGATTTCATCTCAGAACCAACAACCGAACCCTCTTGCACCAATCTTGAATCCGTATCATTGCATTCCATTTCTCTATTATAAAAAGATTAACACTCATATCTCACATACAAATCAATTCTTCAAAAACTCAAACCCATACACAAAATTGAAGCCGACCCAAAAATCACCACAACCATTCAAACCCTAAAATAGAATGAAACGTATATAAACAATTATGTGCGGTCTCAATCAGTGAGTTCATGGGCAAGTCTTATCAATGCTCCTGTCTACTACAGCCTATGAATTTCAATGAATTAAAAAAGCAGTACCTAGGGTTTTTTGAGAAGAGTTAGTAACGTTCAAAGAAAAAGGCGTTGAGAAGATCAGACCTGTGTGTTAATGGATTGTCGAAGACGGTGATGTTCGCGCGTTACGTCGCCTTATTGTAATGAGAAGGTCGTCCTCGGCCCTAAAACACTGCGTCCAGTAGAGAGAGACATGAAATGAAACAGTGAATATATAATGAAAAGTAACGATACGTATTGAGGACCACACCCAGACAGAGAGATGGGTTTTAGGGTAATTCGGCTAAGGACGGTGCGTTTTAGATGCAATGCACAATAGATGGTCCACCTTATTGTGCATTGTGCATTGTGCAATTTGTGCTCGTATGGGACTAATTTCTAGGGCTTGTTGAACCACTTTCATAATTTTGGGCGTTTTAGATGTAATTCACACAGTATAGATGATGATGGTCCACCTTATTGCGCATTGTGCTCACGTGGGAATAATTCTTAGGGCATGTTTAACCATTTTCATATTTTGGGGGCATCAATGCAACAAAAAATTGGTAGACATAGTCGAAAATAAAAATAAATAAATAAATATAAATATATATATATCAAATATGTGATATTCTCTTCTTTGTTTCCTTACATCAAGCACACGTAAAATTTATTATTTACTAATGTTTGCACTTATCTTTAAATTAAACATTTTTAGCATTAAAAATTATGTGGAAAGATTTAGATCTTTGATTGAACATTTCAAACTAAAAATATAAACCAAGCAAGTTTACTTTGTGGGAAAAAAATCCATTCCCAATCTAAACAATACTTTTGGAAATCAATAATCATTACTTCTAATTAATTAAGTAATTTTATTACTAATGGGGAGTTAGTTTAGATGGTATGATTTCTTCAAAAGGAGTCTTGAGAGTTTGGGTTCTATTACCACAACTACAAGTATACAAAATATGTACGATATGATAATTCAATATACGCTTCATATGGTATTTAAGACAAAACAAATCTTTATACTAATATTTTATAAAATAATCAACATATAATTAATATGCTAGATCGCCAATTAATTAAATAATCTACTTAATATTATTTAATTAATCATGCTAAAAATGCAATTAATAACAAATAATTAAATAAATAACGTGAATCTAGGCTACTATTTGATATTATATTGTTAAGACAATTTATGTCCCGCGTGGGGTTAAACAGCCTACGTGACACTTGTCTTCTTTAATACAACGGTCTATATCTACCAGTAACAGCATTACAAACCTGTGGATGGAGGGAACATCCTATGTACAATACTTTCTTTGATTTGACTCTAAAATGTATATATTATATAGAAATAAGGAATTAGGTTCGATCTAAACCACTTGGTTCAGACCAAACCATGGCTCAACTCCAAAGGATTTGGGTCTAGTGGTTTAAACCACTTGACCATGGCTTGAACCGCTTGGGTTCATAAGGGTTTTTTGTTTGGAAAGATAGGAGAAGTTATGGAATTCACATATGAATCTCATAATTGAATAACCAACAACCTTGGGGCTTTGGGTACTTATAAAAGAATTGGTGTCTTTGGGAGTGTATGGGTTGCAGTGGTTGGTTTGAAATACATGATTTATGTTGTTCAATTGGGTTGCATCTCTTCTTTCTTACAAACGCTCTTTCAACCCAACCAATACACAACCACTCGGACATAATGTTTCAAATGGCTGTGCAGGTTTGTACTACAACTGCTCTTAGGTCTCCTTTGGTTTTTCTTTGAACATTCCTTGTACAAACATAGTCTTCAATCCAGAGAAGACAATATGGTATCTATAGGATAAGTAAAATACCTTAAAATTATGTTAGCAAATTTCATTCATAATAATTTTCTAACAATCCCCCATATGAATAGAAAATTGGTTACTTAAATGCAAATGTTTATGCATCTAGTAGAGAGCATAATCGGAAGTTATTGCATTAAGATATATAGCTTTTAGTTTTGAATCTTCCTTAGTGTATAGCTATTGGGTTTACTGGCTAACCAATAGGTGTGATGTTTTGAATTGTTCAGCCGTTTGTATAAACCAAAATAATAGTTAACACATAATTCCCTTTCTCACAGAGTTAGTTCTCATTGTTGTGTTCATTTTAGCCCTGAACAACTCCTGGTATTCATGAGTGCTACTAGATAAACCCAACCTTTAAGGTTCTCATAGAAGTGGCCCCGCTTCACACTCTAAGTAACTTCTTATTATAAATATCATGCCATTTCTTATTTGGATTTTTTAGTCATGGGAATCATTAAAAGCATAGTTTGTCATAATACTTGCTATAGGCAGCACTCCGTCATCATAAGAAATGAACAAAAGATTGAATCTTCCCAGTGATACTGGTGAGTCGCTCAAAATTTGTGTTGTCCATTTGAATCTAGATATTGGGATCTCTAGTCAGCTAAATAGGGTTTTCATTAGAGTGAATCATTGGAGTAGACTTAAATCTCATTCCTGATGACTTATACAATTGCTCTTTAGTATAACCTTCAACTTTATATATATATATGTGGATCCACAAAGTTGTATTTAAAACTAGTACACTCTACAGAGATTTCTCCAATTGAGAGCAATTGTCTCACATATTTTGTACCCTAATAATTGCTCACTATTTATAATAATATCTTTTCCTTAGCGGCACAAGTGTAGACTTTCTTTGAAATGTCTTCTAATAAAGTTTTTTGACATTTTTTTGTTTGATTTATTCAAAGTTTTTAGCTTCGGTTTATATTGAGAACATATAACTACACATTTAATATTAAAGACATATCCACTATTGGATTTGAAGTATTTAATATATGGCATACAGATAGCATCATTGTTTCACCTCTAGTATAGTTTGATACCTCAAAAATTGCAATACATAACTTAGGGTCTATCTCAACTACTCTATTTATTGTCTTTCAGTAATCCTGTCCAGGATATTATTTCGGTACTTGTTTTAATCCACTATAGGAGTTTTAAGCTTACACATTTAATTATTTAGCTGGAACAAGAATTTCTCTAGTTGTTCCATTTTAAAATTTGTTCACATGAAACAACATGCACTACTATTATAATACTATAAATACCCCCCCCCCCCCCCACTTTGGGATAATTCTGAAATTTCAGCAATGATGTATTTATTATGGTTTTTCCAACTTCTGAAAACTCATATTTTAAATACTCAACATTAGTTACCTCTCTAAGGTTCCATTTTTGCTCCTCAATACGCATTATAACAGTCTCTAATGTAACAACCCACTCCACCACATAGTATGATATTGTTCACTTTGGGCCTAAGCCTGCACGGTTTTGCACGGTTTTACTCTTGAGCTTTACCCCAAAAGGCCTAATACCAATTAGAATGACACACCTACATATAAACACTTCACATTTCCCTTACCCAGGCGATGTGGGATTGTGCACCCGTAACTTACATAGTGTGGTAGCCCGCCAGTGTCTCGCACCAGCTCATAGGGTCATCACAATCCTCTGTAACGACCCACTCCACCACATGGTATGATATTGTCCGCTTTGGGCTTGAGCCCGCACAGTTTTACTCTTGGGCTTTACCCTAAAAGGTTTCATACCAATTGGAGATAACACTACCACATATAAACACTTCACTTTTTCCTTACTTAGGCGATATAGGATTGTGCACCCGTAGCTCGCCCAGTGTGGTAGCCTATCAGTGTCTCGCACCCGCCCATGACATACTTACCCACAAGGTCGCCACAATCACCCCCCCTTTGGGCCCAACGTCCTCGTTGGTCACACTTCTGATTGGGTCAAACTCTGATATCATTTGTAACAACCTACTCCACCACATGGTATGATATGGTCTGCCTTATGCCTGAGCCTGCACGATTTTACTCTTGGGTTACCCCAAAAAGCCTCATACCAATTGGAAATAACACTACCACATATAAGCACTTCACCTTTCCCTTACCTAAATGATGTAGGATGGTGCACCCGTAGCTAACCCAGTGTAGTAGCCTACCAGTGTCTCGCACCTGCCCACAGCACACCCGCCCACAGGGTCATCACAATATCATACCATGTGGTGGAATGGGTCGTTACAAATGGTATCAGAGCTTGACCCAGCCAAAAGTGTGGCCAACGAGGACGTTAGGCCCCAAAGAGGGGGTGATTGTGGTGACCTTGTGGACGGGTGTGAGGCACTGACAGACTATCACACTGGGCGAGTTACGGGTGCACAATCCCACATCGCCTGGGTAAGGGAAAAGTGAAGTACTTATATGTGATGGTGTTATCTCCGATTGTATGAGGCCTTTTGGAGTAAAGCCCAAGAGTAAAACCGTGCGGGCTCAGGCCCAAAGCGGGTAATATCATACCATGTGGTAGAGTGGGTCGTTACATCTAATGAATGTGTACTTACTTCATGTAACGGTGAGTGCTTACCCATTTACCTAAAAGCTCAAGTTGTTGGGTAGTATTGCATACCCACTCATTTATACACACTTTTACCCCCATCCAAATTCGATATGGGACAAATATCCCCTTATTACATTCTCCCCCACCTGAACTCACAACGCCCTCGCTGCGGCTCAAACCACCCTGCCTACCCGGGTTGCAGACCCGAAAATCCTCCGGGTCGGCAGCTTGGTGTGACACCGGATTAAGGATTAGGTTTGCCTCTGATACCAACTATAACGGGTGAGCACTTGCCCATTTACCTAAAAGCTCAAGCTGTTGAGTAGTGATGCATACTCACCCATTTATACACACTTCAACCCTCATCCAAATCCGATGTGGGACAAATATGGTTTTGTTACACTTTAGCTCTAACTTGTCCTTATATTAAGTCACAAATGTTATTGTGCATTAATGCTAGATATATTAATTGTAATGGGCTCTAATTAAGATTTGTTTCTACATCTCTTATATTTATGACTTCATCTATTTATATTTAAGTTCATATTAGTTCATCTTTTTATTAACATATCTTAACCTCTTATATGACACACATTACATGACTCAATAATATAAACAAATAACACACTTTATTAGTCATTAAACTTCTTAAAGTTATCAAAAAAAACTTTTTATTTTTCAGCTCATTCACTATTATACGTATAAATCTTTTTCCTTTAACTATTAGGAATATTGACATAGATAGACTGGTTTTTTTTTTTTTTTTTTTTTTTTCTTTTTTTTTTTTTCTACTGTGTTCAATACACACACCAGTCATATTATAAACAATTAATAATTATATACATCAAATAAACTATATTGTAAAATGCATACTAAGTATACAATATACTTTAAATTATATTGTAATATTCAACTACATAGCTCAATATTGT